TAGCAACAAAATCAAAGCACTGTTTGCCCGCCTGGTATTCCTAATGAACATACTTTTAATTTAATCCCCTTCTGAATCTTCATTATATTTGTATGGTGAGGTAATTTTCTCAGAATGTCTCTTTCCACCATCATTTTGTGCCTAAGAATGCTACAGGTGCAGTGTGGCTGAAGTAGATCACACTCTTGGAGGACTTCAAAATACAAGCCTTGAGCTCAAGAGGACCAATATTCTAGAGCTGCAAATTAATTACACAGCACAGCTGCCAGCTCAGGTGAACTCTGCAGATTCTCAGAGGCATCCTTCCTGGAATAAGTAATAAAAAGCAAGTGGTGATTTATCACCCCCTTCTTCATGGGAGAGCCAGTGGACAAGTTTCCAGCAGATATGGCATCTTCGTGGGTAACTTTTCATTCTCTGATCATCAACAGCAATCAGAGAACCAGTGGACATTCATCACTAGCAACCAACTACTGCGAGTGGTCTCTTAAGAGCTTCATACACAAACTATGTTCTCCTCAGTGGAAAAATCCCATTAGTGATTCTTAGTCACATAAGGTAACATAAGTATCTGACCAGTTTGATTTTGTGAGAAAAGATGCAATCATGTCACGGTGCTACAGTCTCGGATTTCCTCTCATCTCTTCAAAACTAAGGCTGCCAGGCAAAATTAGAAATGTGGCCAGTACAGCACTGTGTTAACTGAGACAGCTCTACCTAACAAAGCACCAATAACTGTGTGCATTAAGCTGATTACCAGTTCTTCCTATCAAGCCAGGCTGGATTCTGCCTTGCAAAGGATTACAAAACTAGCTTCCTTCCTACAAACAGAACATGGCTTGCTGGAAAGTAAAAAGTTTCACTTCTCAAAGGCAGGGAGAAACTCAGCTTGGACTTCCTAACACGGATTAGAGCTTCAGTGTATCCTGTAGTATAAAAAATGGCTAAGTAATGGGAATGCCACCTGCCCATGCTATCATTCCAGCAATAATCAGACTTCTATAAGTACTGCCCAGCAGTTATGGAGCCTCCTTGGATTTACTAATTCACTATATGATGCATGATCCTAATGGAGTTCCCCTGTTTCTAGGTGCTAATTTTTTCTGATGTAGTTTTCCCTTGTAGTTGTCAGAAAACCAGCCAAAAAGAACCAGGTAGCTCAAACTTCTCAAAGTGGTCCTCTATCTCTAATGTTCCACAGGGACAAGGAGGGATTGATGCCTCTTCTTGGGATTTTTCTACTGAAACTTTGATTTGAATTTATTAGCTCGCCTTATTATTTTCTTCTAAGTCACTGTGTATCAGAAAATATTCTAAGCCAGGGCTCTTTCAAGGGTCTTCAATACCACTGTGATGGTATAAAGCCTTTAATCTTCTTGCTCATATTTTGGCCTCTGTTCTTACAGCTCTTTAGGGCCAAGTCATTCTCTCTCCAAAACTTTCAGAATTTCAAGATGGGCAGCATTTTGTAGTACAGTATTGACTGTTATACATTGCCCTTAAAACACTGAAACTGGTTCTCCCAGAATGCAAATTTTATCCTCTCCTAGTTTACAAAGCGTGTTGGATTCAGCATCTGGAACGCCCCTAAACATATTCCTCCAGCAGTATTTCCTTAACTTGGTGGCGTGATCAGATATGACTCAAATGTGAGTCAGCATGTAAGTTCAGGAGATTCTGGCCCACTCCCACCTAGCTAGGTGGAGCAGTACTGGTTAACCAGAGAGCAGGACTGGCAGGAAGACACAACAGTTACCATATTCTGAGCTGTGTCCTCTAAGATTTTAAGTATCTCTCTGTTGAGTACACATGCCTTCCTTCCTGGGAACCTTCTTACCTGGGATCTTGAATCATAATGGGTACAAGCTGTGCCTTTTATTTTTGGGCTCATAGAGGCTTTAAGGATGTATATGGGTGGGCAGCAGCTCAAGCAGTGTTTCCATGTGTGCTGACACATACTAAACATGGTAAAAATAACATACATGTGGGCAGCAAAATTCTGAGGAGTTTTCCAGACATGTTTTAGGGATCTCCGTCTTTATCCTTTATGTTGACTTCTAGGACCTGCCTCTCTATTTTTTGACCTTTCCTGCTCCTTGACATCTGCTACCTTTTTAAATATGTTAACATCAAGAATAAATCTAAATAATAATAATAATAACAAAAGGAATGGCCCAATCAGCCCAGTGCATTCATCCCCATTGAGTGCCTTTACATGGAAGTATCCTGCCTCAGATGTATCTCTTGCCCCTCTTAACCTGCAGATTCCTTTTTGTATCACTCTTGGCTGTGTCTCTGGACTTGCTTGTGACTTATACTTGAGGTCTGTTTTCTCTGTGATGGAAGTTGCTCAGAACATCATCTCTTGGTTAATCTCACTGTTATTGTTGTTTCCCTTTTTGATTCAGTTACGTGCATAGTACTTGTCCCCCAAATGGCAAGAGCGAGGTAGAATAGAGCGAAGTTCCTTTGCAGGTTAGACCTTAAGCAGAGGAAGAGATGACTTCAAAAGAGTTCAGCCAAGGCTGCTTTTTGTTACATGGTGTTTCTTATCCAAAACCTCCTTCAAAGATAATAAACAGCTGAAGATTTGCTGTAGTACATTGTTCTGAGATATGCAGAAATAAAATCTTGTCTGCTTTAACTGGGCATTCAACACTGACTTTAATTCCAAGTACCTATCATCATGTTTCCATCCTTCATTCTCAGGTGCCAGGTGCTTGTCTTTGTCCTTAAATTGGCGTGCTCTCATCATTTGCAAGGTTACAGATTCTCAGAGAATCTAGCGATGGCTTTCTGCATTATCATTAGGAATGGCCAAACTTTAAAAGTTACAGTAACAGCTTCTCAGGTATCCCTGCTCAGGCCCATGTGGTGATTCTTTGGCATCCATGGAAAATGGTAGTATTTGTCTCCCCTCTCAAGCTGAGGATTGATTCTGCCCCTATATACCTAAGCACAAAATACCATAGAGTGCAAGCATATCGAGAGCCTCAACCCATTTTGCTAGTTTGTACAGGTATCACCTGCCAGCATTAATGGAAACTTTCCTCTGCTGCTTTGGAGCACTTACTGTAGGTAGAGATACACTATGTTCCATATTTGACTCCATCTTAAAACATAGGCCAGTTACTTAAGGGAATAAAAGAGGAGTAAGTCAAACTCTGCTCCATGTCTTAGTGACATGGATACTCAGAGCCTCTGGTTCCTAGTTCTCCAACGTGTTGCCAGCTTCCTCTCAGTTGAGCATCCCATATCAACAGTACTATCTTAGCTTGTTACAGTCATATCCTCTTATACAGATTTTTTACTGTTACATAACTATTTTCCTCACTTCCTGATGAAGCACTGAAAATATCAAACTGACAATTAAGTTACATTATTCCACAGTAACTTACAAGGCTTCTTCAGACAGACAGTCAGAGATACACTGCCACTGTCAGCTAGGAAGGATGGAAAATCCTGAAAGGTTCTGAAAAATTTTTTACTTCCTTCAACCAGTTTGGAGGAGCTTTGTACCTTCTACCAGGAAAGCAGTAACTTGCAGAATAAAGCTCCTGTTGTTAGAAAAGATTATTTGCAAAACTGATAGGAGGAAAGAGGGTGGTACAGAGAAAAGCACTGCTGGAAAGGAGAGATTTGCCCAGCAACACAAAATCTCTGCCTGGGCTGTAAGAAACATTCCCATGGGCAGTTCTCCCTTATTTGGCATTCAAGCCAACATTTGCCTGTATATGTGATACGAAAACACAAGCAAACGTGAAAGAGGAGGAGAAAAACAATGAAAGCTGTCCCTGCCAAACCAACGAGTTAACCCGAAAGAATATTGCATGATCAGATATAGCTTGGCTTTTTAATTCATCTTATTTGCCTATAACACCAAATTGTCTAAGCATCCAAAATACAGAGTTTATTTAGGTAATACAGTGACAGTTTTGTTAGTACAGTGCCCTTGGAGAGCAGAAGCACACTGATTTGGCACTAGAGGTGAATTTTGCCATTGGCAGAGAAGGTCCATCAGTTTCAGTTTTGGTAGCATAGTTAAAGGAAGCAATGTAAGACAGGCTTGACATGGAGCATATGGCAGAGATTGGAGTCTGGAGGGTTATACTGCCATTGCACCAAAGGATTTCTGATAACATTGCCTTTATTTAATTTTTAATTCTGCTTCTTACACGTAAGGGTATTTGCTGCCTTGAGTGTTTTTTAGAATTGCTTTCAGTATTGGAAATGCCCCCAGGAGTTGATCAAGAAGTGTCAGGAAGAGTGTTTGCAGCAACTACACTCTTCCAGGGAGGACTGGGGCTCAGCTCAGCTGAGCTTGGCCTCAAACAACGCATCCAATGGGTGCTGCAGCTTTGCTGAGGTGGGTGAAGGGTAGAGCAAGCTAACCAGCCTTACTAATCTGCTTTTCTAATCAGCTGGCAGTAGGCATTTAGGGTTGACAAGAACTGATTGCACTGGCCCAGCACATTTTCTTAGTAAGAACAATGTAATCATCCACAACTATGTGTAGGGAAATGGGAGTATATAAATAGAGAACTTTGCTTTAGCATTGGGATGTTGTGGATTTAGTTAGACTGATGCACTAGAAGCTGGCTGCTCCCTATGCAGTCATTGCTGGATCTGGGCTGAGGAACTGAATCTAGTCTTGTACCCAACTTGGCTGCGGTGATGCAAGAAACATTTTAACATTATCTATACCTCACCTGCCTGGATTCTGGGATGTCTAGCACTGAGGAAACAACAGGTCAAATTTACATGTGGTGTTAGTGGATGCAGCTCACATTGTTGAATTCAATGGGAGTTGTACCTACTTCTGCCGTGGCCAGCTTTGATCCTGGACATCCTAAGGAATGAGCCCAGCCTCTTGTGCATTACTTTCACACTCCTTTTTGCCCTTTCTGCCATTTTGTTGCTCCTGTTAGCCAAGACCTAGTTTACTAGGGCTCTTGATTGAAGACTTATTACAGCTTATTTCTGTCTGCCTTTCTTTAAAGCCAGCTGAAAATACCCAATGCTCTTCCTCTATGGTAAGACCGAAAATACAGACCACCCTCCTAGCTTCTGTGACACTCTTTCTAACACACTCCTTTATTCTCTTTCCCCTGATCACAAGTTCTCTCTCCAAGCCCAGCCTAGTTATTTGTGCATGAAGCTGCCATGTTGTGTATTGGTGTGAGTCTGGTGTTCACATGAGCTGTGAATATGCTGCACATGTGTATTTCTTGTGCATCCTGAGCTTTCCTTTGGTCAAGTTAACTGTCGTTCTGCCTTCTAATGAATCACTAAGAGAGAACACGACCTGTTCAGATTTCTTGTTAGCCATGAACTACATCACTACCAACGTGATGACTTTGCAATGAGATTTCATGTCCAATTTTACAGACTGGAAAAGGAGTGAGATTCTGAAGCTCCTCTTTGGTGAGGTGTTGCTGCTGTAACGTATGAGTTTATAGTATGTACTATAACCATGCAACGGTGCACATAAATTGTACTGCTTTGGTGTACAAGGAAGTTGCTACACTGCACCAGCAGAGCTTCAGTGACTCCATTCTGCGATTGCCACTCTGGAGTACTTTCCTCCTCTGACAAAGATGTGCCTTCAAAAGTCTGGATGGCTGCTAGGAAAGAGTAAGCAAGTCTACTCAGACACTTACACGTTAATGTGCAGCCACCTTGTTTCAAAATGGCCTCAATCTCCTGAGGCATCACTGATTAATTTTGGCTGAGTGCTTCGATGTCACTGAGTTACAGAGATCTGTGTCAGGGACAAATTTCACAGAATCACAGAATTGCAGGGTTGGAAGGTACTCAAGCGATCACTGAGTCCAACCCCCTCCTAAAGCAGTGCCCTATGATAGGTTGCACAGGTAGGGGTCCGGATGGGTCTGGAATATCTCCATAGAAGGAGACTCCACAACCTCTCTGGGCAGCCTGTTCCAGTGCTCTGTCACCCTTACCATAAAGTTCTTCTGTGTTTATTCCACGCTGCCCACTTTTTAGATCTTCTCAACCTTGGGACCTAAGGAGGGCAGGGACAGTTGTCTGCTTTCATCCCCTGTCTCCTCACAACAAGACAAAGCAGTGTCTGTCTAGACCCATGTCCTATCATGCTGCCACCCAAAGAGAATGCTGCCCAGAAGGAGCAGCAGCAGCAGTTAGGATGAGAAAAACTTTCTTTTTTTTGTCACAACCACAGCAGTCGTGATGTCCACACTACTTTGGAATTTAAACCTCAATTCTTTTTAGGTGGTACTGGAATTTAGCTCCTTAGGGAAAGTGAAAAGGAGACCATAGGGCTTCTGTAGGACTTGGGGATGTACACAACCTACAGCTAGCCCTCTGGGACTGTAGTTCTGAAGTCATTCAATGCCAAGATTTTTGATTTCTTGACAGCTATATTCCCTCCTTCACCTCAGAGCCATTCTCTCCAATTCACTGAAGCCCCCAGGCTGTTGCTCAAGTCAGAACACAGGAATGGTGAGATTTAGGGAGCAATCAGCCATTTCCATGGCACAGCCTATTCCCCCCCATCTTTTTCACCATGCTACTGTGTGGGCAGCCAGGATCAGCCTTTGCTGCAGACTGGAGGAGGCTGCCCAAAATACCCACTGGTGATTCACACAGATAGACAGACAGACTGCAGCTGTACTGCAGTTCTGAGGCACTGCAGGCACACAGCAGCAGACAGGGCTGAGAGGCAGCCAGGTGGATGAAGCCAAACACAAACCAGCATGTCCCAGGTGGGAAACAGAAGATGCTCACAGCATCTTCATCTGCACGTCTGGAGTTTTAATCCCAGAAATGCATATACGAGAGGTTTCTGTGCCTCAGGTTTTATCAGAAATAGAGACAGCTGCAGCTTTTGCTGCCCTGTGACAGGAAATCCCAAGGGTCTGTTCTCTCTTGGTTTACACAGTGGTGAGTAGTTAACAGCGAGGGTGATCTGCACTGTTTCTTCCTCCAAAATGTTGCTCTTTTGGTGTTTCGACTCCAACTTTGCAGGATAGGTGTGGACAGAACAGGGGTCTCTGAGCCCTTCATTGCAAGCCAGGTGGCAGGGTGACAGTGTTATCTCTGTATGTGACAGAAGGCTATATTCCCACAGTGCTTCTAGTGGAAACCAGGAGCTCTGCAGTCTGCGTGCAGTACTTTAGGGAGTTAATGAGCTGGGAAACATTGCATTGCTGTGCCTTGTGCTAGGCAGCAGGGCCTCTGCAGGTGAGCCTGCTGGCATCTGGGCAGTCAGAAGGAGATTGCCTTCACATGTGTGAAGTCTTAGGAATGTCAGAGTCGGTTACAGGCCCAGGGGAAAATGCTTAGGGACAAAGCAGATGCTGTGAGAAAAAAAAAAAAAAAAAAAAAAAAAAAGGGCTATTTAAAAACACTGCACGCTTGAACAGTAGCAGAGAAGCCAAAATAAAACATTAAAAAAAAAAAGGAAGAAAGCAAAAAGGCAGATCGCAGACTGTGGGAAGTACAACAGGGTCATGAGAAATGCACAAGGCCCAAATGCAGAGCAGCGAGTGCAGCTCAGCCCCAGCAGCATGGCCACAGCAGGGCCACCATTGGTACACATAGTGCCAGCATCCCGTTCTGGATCTCAGAGCAGACCTGGGACCTGCTGTTTCCCAGCAGAGCAAGTGGCACGTGACCGGTGCCTAGAGATGCTGACTGAGGGGCTCACTGGGATCAACCATCTGAGACAGGTCCATAGAAGAAGTATCTCTCTTCTCCCTTAAAATAGCACAGGAGCATTGCATCCTGGCACTGTTAGAGGGAATGTAATGAGGGGAGCATCATCAGACCCTGATCCTCAAAGTCCAGGCAAGCTGAAAGGAGATTCTGATGGCCTAGGAAGCCTCATAGATAGCCTCACCGCAATGGGAGAGAAGGCCCATCCATGGTGTGCAGGGGCACTGCAAGCCCAGGGAGCATTACCAGGATAAGGAACAGTGCAGTGAGCTCTCAGCATAGCGTGCTCTGTGGCCCAGGGCCCTTGTTTCTCTCGTGCTGTTGTAACTCCTGCCTCTGTGACAATGGCTTCCAGAACGCAGAGGAAAACTCTCGCATCTCAATCACCTTCTTCCGACTCTTCCGTGTGATGCGTCTTGTGAAGCTCCTGAGCCGAGGGGAGGGCATCCGGACACTGCTTTGGACCTTCATCAAATCCTTCCAGGTATCCCTTCACTTGTTTCTATAGGTCATAGCCCTTCTGTTTTTCTCCCCTTGGCTGCCGAACAGGATGAGTTTCACCCCCACTGCCTAAGCCAAAGAATGCTCAGCAGAGCAGCACACACAGGCAGCATGCAGCACAAAGGAGCCTCAGGCAAAAGGAGATCACAGTGGATGGCTGCCTGGGTATGAGTTTCATCTTTAAAGCATGAGTAATTGCTTGAGACCCTCCTGAACCTCCTTGATGGTTCTCTTCAACTCAATTACTGTCTGAAACCGTTTTTTTTTTTCTTTCTTTCTTTCTTTCTTTCTTTTTTTTTTCCCCCAATTTTGGCTGTATTTTATAACTTGTTTTAAGTGGAACTCACAGGGGAAGGCAAGGGTCTCAATTAAATTTCCCTTGAGCCTTGTTTTGAAAATTCCAGTGAATATTAGGGGTGTGGGCCCCATGCTTTCATCCAGAAAGAATTTCACCTTTTCAGCCCTAAACCTTTGGCCTTGGTAACAGTGACAAGTTATTGGATCACTGATGCTTTCACCCTGTAGACAGGTGCATTTCAGTGGTAGGTGAAGTACCAGAGGAGAGAGTGGAGGCAGAGGAGACCAGACAGGTTAAGAATTGTCACCCCTGGTGGTGAAACAAACACCAAGAGAGAGCTTATTGCTAGAAAAAAAGCTTCCAACACAGACTCTAATCTAGCATAGAAAAACATTTGTCAAAGATTAAGCAAGTTCCTGCCTTTTGTGAGTGCTTGATAAGGAGGTAGTGGGCCAGCACAACCTGTCTGATAGTTGGGACGAAGCTGGAGAAAGCATCAGGTTATTACTTGAGCTACTCCAGTGGGAGCCATTTTGTCTGCATGCACAGGAATGAGGTTCCCTTGGCACCACTCAGTGTCCCTGATGGATGGAACAGTCACACTTTTGCAGTTCCTGGTCCCCTGCCCCTTGCCTCCAAGCTCCTCCAGCTTGCTCTTACCCTGAGCTCAGTGTGCCAGGGCTCTCGGCTGGAGAGGATGACGTGGATGGGAAAGGGAGTGCCTGGTGCTTCAGTGACCTTCAGACCTCTGTGACTGGAGAGTCACTTTTAGACAGGGTTGAAGGGTGATGGGAGAAAGTATCAGGGGAGGTATCTTCCATAGCAGGGGAAAAAAAAAAAAAAAAAAAAAAAAAAAAAAGAAAAAAAACCCAAAACACCCACTGAGCAAGTTTCTTTCTCCTTTAAAGCCCTTAGCTGTTTATAACATAGTATTCTCTGCTTGGAGCTCCTCCTCTTGCAACTACTTTATAGCTAAGAATAGGCCCAGTGCAGAGCTCCCAGCTCAGCCACTCCCACCGCCACAATCTGGGATCCCTGCAGATTTTGTCTGGCATAAGCTCTTCCCCGTGTCCCCACATGCTTCCAGGAAGTGTTGTTGTTCACACAGGGCAGCCTCAAAAGCAGCGAACTCATGCAAGAGTTCAGATCCCATCATGACCACGGTGCACACTGGGCGTATGATGCCTTATATATATATAGCCCAGGACACTGGTCAGAGGAGAGCCTGGTGGGAAAATGCGCAGCGGGGTTTCCGCAGGAGAGAGAGCAGCAGAGAGCAGGCTGGTGGGTGGGAGGAGTAGGAAGCGAGAGGGGTGCTGAGGGCAAGGCGAGGCCGTGGGAAGCAGAAGGACAAAGTGGTAAATGCAGGGAAAGACAGAGCTGGAGGAGGACAGAGCCAGGGGAGGGGAATATGGGAGACGGGGAATTCCCATGGGGAGTAATGGGCAGAGATGAGTGGGAAGGTGCGTCAGTGGGCTGAGCAGAAGAACATGGAAAAAGGTTAAGGGCCAGGTGGGAAGACGTTCTTCCAAGCCCCATGTGAAAGATGGGACTGATAAGGTTACGCCCATCTGGACACTGACAGACATTTTTCAAAGGTTTAACTTACAGCTATTTTAATATTCAGTTCTCTTTGAGATTACTTTTGCAGGTCTTCATCAAATCCCGATGGCAGTCAGTGAAAATTCCTCAGTTTTTCCTGTAGGATTGAATCCTACTGAATTGAAGCATAAACTTGAAATGTATAAATAATTTCATGTTAAAAAATAATAATAAGAAGAATGTTGTAGATCCGTAAAATGAGGTGTTCAAAATCCTGACCAGGAGCTGTACTGACATTTTAGGATAAATACTACTGCCTGTTGCCTTTGAAGTGAGGTCTGGAAATCTCTGGCCTGAGAACTATATATTTCAAAAGCAACAGGGTAGAAAGTGCCTTCTCAACGACCCAAGACTGTGAGGGCCTGAGCTGTGTTCTGATTCCTGCTAGCATGGAGGAAACCAAGAGCACTCAACACTTTGCTGATTGCATAGGCCCCTTCCTTATGAGGCAGCTCTGTGTATCAGGGCTCTGCATTTTCTCATCAGCAGCAGATCACTGACACATAGGGCATGGCAGACACCGTCACAGACACCTAACACCGAGCCAGGAACAAAGCTCTGGCTGCCTTAGGTACTTAGGATGGGATCGGCCATTGAAAGAGAGACCTTAAAGTTGGGTCTGGGCAGCTGTTGCATTTTTTATTTCACCAGACTGGGTCCTGAAAATAAATAAATAAATAAAAACAGAGGACATTGCCATTCGGAACAGAAGGATAGCAGTTACAGTAGTTTTCTCCTGCCTGTAGGCAGCTGTGTGGGCTGTTTGTGCCCTGACTTCCCCCACTCAGCCAAGGGCAGGACTGGCTCAAATGGGGCAGAGCTGCAGCGTCCCAGAGAGGGAGCAGAGTCAGAGCCCGGCTGGGCTGGGAGGGAACAAGGGTGGCAAGTGTGGGCCTGTGTCGGCATCTAGTGGCCACCTGGTGAGTTACAGCCTCTGCCCGGTTTTCCCAAGCCTGTGCCGCAGAGCCCTTCCAGGATGCCAGGCACGGTGGAGACACGTCTCTTTCTTTCTCATTTCTAGGCTCTCCCCTATGTGGCTCTTCTAATAGTGATGTTGTTCTTCATCTACGCCGTGATCGGGATGCAGGTAGGTCATGCTAATGAGCTCAACTGCATCTTTCTCCTCCTCTTAGAGGTGTGAGGACTGACCTGTAAGGTCACTAGGTCAACATGTAGTTGTAGAGGCTTGCATGAATGTTTTCCCCAAGCAAGGTAAGAAGGCAGCTAACCTTGATTGGAAAGCATTGTCTGCATGTGCACTTCCAAAAGAAGTAAGTAAACCCACTCTAGCAAAACCAAAAAAATGACCCATTTAATGATAAAACACAGTATAAAATCAATAAAAGAAATGTGCCAGCCCTCCGCACCACACTCCCAAAGGAATACCCAGAAACTCTGGCAAAGGTGAATTACTGCCTTGCTCATTGGCTCAAAAGAGTTGTTTCAGTGGGCTCGTGGCCATGCTGCTCTGAGCAAACCCCATTTTTCTCTCCCATCACTTTCATGCTGGCCTGATTCTACTGGCTCATAAAGAGCAGCTTTTGATTTACACCCTTGAAGGCAAATATGGGATCAGAACCAATGTGCCGACTCTGTGTTTGTGCCAGTTCTTCAGGAAGCTGCATCAATACAATATCCTATTCAGCTTGCAAAATGAACTTGGAACCAGACTGAGCATTCATCTGTGCAAGGAACTGATGTTGCATGCAGACCATTGAAGACAGCATGTGATAGAGGCATGGTCTGTGACAGTCCCAGCCTCATTTGCTGTGCTTCTTTTCAAACTAAGCTTCACTTTCCACTTCTGTGTTAATCAAAGATCTCAGACAAGTCGGCCATCTGGGACCAGAGACCATAGCATAAAAAGGCAAGGCATAATTATTTCCAGAGGTCTTTAACCACAACAGGCTTCTTGGTTTCACAATGCAGACAGAAGTTGTAACAAAATTCATCTCACCTTTCTGACCTTATTTTAATTTGTTTCCTGTTACTATAATCACATCTTTTCATAGGCTCCATCCACCAGTATGAAAAATAAAACCAATCTTACCTTGAATTATCATAGGTTATCTTAATTGCCCCCAGTAATTACAGCTGTCATTTAATATACTGGGCTCATACTTTAAATGTGCCTTTAATGCCTAACTAGCTCAAATGGACAAGATCTTTACAGGATTACCTGTGCTAAACAGAAAATCACTTGAGAGTATTACACTATGCTATGTAGCTACATAAAGCATTAGAAATGGCTTCCCTGCACCTACCCAGATGGGGGCTTATGATGATCATGGCACTGCCAGGGCTAGATAGATTATTCTGTAATTGTATTCTCTCTTTTGTCAGTTACTTCTAAGTTGTCTGTTTAATCACTGGCAAACATTCATGCCTCTGTTTTAATCATCTCAGCATCCTGAAGATCATACATTTCTCTTTCACATTATCTAGATTACTGGATCGCTTTCTGTCCCCCTACCTTTCAATAGAAAAGAAAGTTCCTCTCTTTTGCCCTCTTTCCTTTTAGCCTGCTGACCTGCTACCATCATTTTTTGTCATAATGGCATTTCAGACATTTCATGTGCTGTTCTCTTGGACCCTCTGACAGGTAGAGTTCTCTCACACTCAGGGATCCATAGTAGGGAGAATCCTTTTCCACTCCACTGAGCAGCTTCCTTAAAGCCTGCAGGCACCAGATCTGAAGAAAATGTAAGAATTCCCCACCTAAACAAGATCTACCACGTTATCTCAGCTATTCACCTGGCTAGGAGTGTAACAACATTCAAGCCTTGCTATTTGATGTGGACAAGTGGAAAAATACAAATTGATGATGGCAGAGGCAGCCACTGCTATAATGGTGCGGGAGGCACAGGCTGTGGGAGAGGAACCTCTACATGCAGCTCTTCACAGTTGACCCATGCAAAGCTGCCATGGAAGCAGGTGCTGGTGCATCATGTGTGAGGGAAGCTGCTGGGAAGAGAGGAAAAATCAAGCTTCCAGCATGGGAGGTTCCCTTGCCTACGCTTGCCTGAAACAAAAAATACGGGCTGCTTCAGCTCAAAATGCCTCTGAGCATTTAAGCTGTTGTGCTCCTCCTCAGCACAGCTGGGGCTGTCACTGCCACCCACGGCATAGGGACAGCCGGGGCTGTTCCAGGCCTGCACATCCACCAAGATCCGCTGCAGAAAGGCTGCCATGAGCAGGCCCTCCTCCCTTCTGGTATGGCCCTTCTGTCATTGTCCTTGCACATCTCAGGATGTTAATTATCAGTGACATGTGCTTGAAAAGGAGCTCCACGTTCTCTCAGGGCTGCCCTGTTCCTGCTGCTCATCTTGGCTATGAGATTGCAGCTCTCAGCCCTCGAGGCCTCTGCCTTGCTGCTATCAATGGGCAGTAGTCCTGGCCGACAGTGCTGTGCAGACCTTGTTGCCAAGCAGGATTTGTCAGGTTCTTGGTCCCAGTTCCCACAGGTATAAAAGTGTCAGACTTTCTCAAAGAAGCCTAGAACTGCCCTGCACCAGGGACTTGGCATCTGGCAGTGGGCTCCTAAAAACTGCACCAAGTGTTGCAGGCTTCATGCTATGGCTGAACGAATGAACTGGTACAGTGATGGTTGGCTGGGCATGGGAGGAAGCTGTCAGCCATCCTTTATGGCTCTAAGGAAAGGGCTGTCAGATCACCGTTACAATTTGGAGCAGCTCAGGTGCAGTGCATGGAGAGCCCCAAGAAGTTTGAAATAGCAAGCAGAGTTTTTTCTTCTGCGCTGACTTGAACTGTTACCATCATCACTTTGTACCTGAGAGCAAGTTCCCTGCAAGGGCTGTAATTCTTCAGTTGCCTTCTCTGCATAAGCATTACTGCTGCAGACCACCTAAAACAGCACACAAGACACTGGTCTGCTTCATTTCTGTCTCAAAGAGCCACTGCTTTCATTTACATCATGAGGCTTTTAAGCTAGATCTTCCCTGTCATACACCTCGCATGTGTACCTCTGTTAGGCTTTCCCATTGCTCCATTCCCTTTTTCTCTGGAAAAATCCAGTCCTCATCTTCACACTGCTGCATTCTGAAGGGTCCTGAGACATCTCCTGGTGACAAGCATGGTTTACCATGAGGGCAGGCATTTAGATAATTTCCAGACTCAACATACTTTACACTGTTTGGGGAAGATGCAAAGCACTTCACAGACTTGGAACTTCAAGGAACTTCCCATATGAGTGCCAGTTTACAGAAAGCCACATATCACCTATTCACAGTATATAAAATAAGGAAGTATATCTTGTTTAATATGAGTGCTATTCTGCTATTTAAGTACAAGCACGAGAAACAATAGCAAATATGAAAGACCAGTGAAAATGTTTGAGAGAAGGGCAGATTCTGTTAAATGTCATGTTTCCAGAGTGAGGGGGAGGCCCAGAGCTGCAGGTAACAGGAGGTTTGGGGGTTTTACAAAGCTAACCTTAAAAGACCTTTGCTTTCTGCCAGGTATTTGGTAAAATTGCGCTGAACGATACCACAGAAATCAACCGCAACAACAACTTCCAGACCTTCCCCCAGGCGGTGCTGCTGCTTTTCAGGTGGGTGTCTGACAGCTCTGGATTGTGTCAGTCCAGGAGTGTGATTTCTCTGCTCTTGGGCACAGTTTATCTCCTTCCAACACGTCATGCTCACAAGGTGAGTAGAAACATGTTGTCCCTTGGCGGGAGAACCTAGGAGCTGTGCCAGATGAAATGACTGCTCTGCTAAGCCTCGTGCCCTGCCACCTGCCACTGGTCAGCACTCAGTGCCCAGGGAGGGAAGCAGCTCCTCCTGCTCAAAAGAATGGCAGACAGCTGTTCAGTTCTCTCACACCATAATACTTATCATAAACTCCTCCTTCTTTCAAATCAAGCCAATATGACTCCAGCTTGTTCTTCTAGCAGGCAAAGGGGCATGCTTTGGCGTGCTGTGTTTGCACATCATCTGCTCCAGCTGTGGCCAGGTGTGCTAGGCCCAGGGAGGGGTGTTGAAGGTGGGGAGAGGAGGATGGGGAGTTGGTGTAAATGCAACTCTGTCTTTGTTTTCATGGAAGTTTTTCATGTAATACATAGCCGCTGTCACATATATCTCAGCAAAATGTAAAATCCCAGACATCGGCCTCACCTGCTTGTAGTTGACTTTGGGAGAGCAGGAGAAGGTTGCTAATGTGCAGGTCCCTCCCATATCAAGGGTCACTGCTGTCTTCCCTTACTCTTTGCTGTACCCAGGTGTGCCACCGGTGAGGCCTGGCAGGAAATCATGCTGGCGTGTCTCCCAGACAAGAAGTGCGACCCAGAGTCAGAGCCGGCCAACTCCACTGAAGCTGACCACTCCTGTGGCAGCAGCTTCGCTGTCTTCTACTTCATAAGCTTCTACATGCTCTGTGCCTTCCTGGTGAGTTGGCCAAAGCACTTGTAACTTACCCCAATCAAACTGACCACTGCCTCTCCGAGCTTCGGTGCTGCACAGAAGAAGGATGGCTTCAAAGATGGGAAAATTCCTCGTGGGGTCTTTCCCAGTAGCACTCTTGCCATGACAATTCCTCCTTGGGTTCTGCAGGTTCCACCTCTCCCTGCAGCCTGGGGGATGCTCTGCTTGCACCCCAACTCTTTGTGCACAGGAGCCCTCTTCCCTCTACCCCTGTATGAGAAAACCAAATTAGCATGTTGTGGGCTGTGCTGAGGCTAGCAACGCCTCAGCCACACTTCCCACCTTCCCTCCTACCTTCCTTCTGGCTGCCGAGCAGGTTTTTTCTCCCCTGCCAGCAGCAATGACTGTGAGAATACACATACCCCACTTGCATCTGCTCCGTGTTGACAATATGGCATTGCTCAGAGTGACAGCACATGTTCTGCAGCGCGCATCAGTGCGCAAAACTCTCCCAGTGAACAGCAGCAAGATTTTCAAAATGTTGGTCTGGAGCCAAGAGAAAGGAATTTTATCTCAGCCTCACAACCCATAGAGGATAAATTCTAGATTCTCTACCACTACCCCTAGTGGGCAAAGACACAGGTAAACAAAAAGCCCTCACTGCACGCCCTACAGCACACTTGGGCCTCATCCATCTGCTTGCTGAATGCTGACCAGCTGAGGACTGTCCTGGGTATCTTCCCGTTTAAAATGTGGGGCTTACATGCAGGAACAGAGAGAAACCACCCCAAATGACCTCCTAGATTTACAAGTCCAAAGCTGGACTTTGAATTGAGAATGTGGAAAAGTCTACCTGTTACCTATCTCATACACCAAGTCATCTTTGTTCTTGTTTGCAGATCATCAATCTTTTTGTAGCTGTTATAATGGATAACTTCGATTACCTGACACGGGACTGGTCCATTTTAGGACCTCACCACCTAGATGAGTTTAAAAGGATCTGGGCAGAGTATGACCCTGAAGCCAAGTAAGTAACCCAGCCTGGATAGCAGAGCTCTTCAGGAGAACAGGCCCGTTGTTTCCTGTTCTCCAGACACAGTGCAGTAAGTGCAACATCCCTTCCTCAGGAACCCCTTTTTTCTGCAAGAATCTTAAAACAGATCCCTCCTTAAGGTATTGCTGGTAAATCCACAGGCCAGCGATGCAGTGACACACACAAAAATCTATGCATCTGAGCTGTGCCATCACCTGGCAGGACATTGCTTTGCTTTCAGTCAAGGGGAGAAACAGACTGCTGAGTGAGGGGATACTAGAAAACTTCAGAGAAGGTTTGAGAGTTGTTTTACTGTTGTATGTGTTTGGGATATTGAATCCAAGCTATGGCAGTTCTATTTGACTTTCTACTCACAGAAGAACTGCTGTGCTCAAATCTCCACTTTGTCATGTGTCATATAGGTCCATCAAAACTGGTAGCTCCACATGACTGCGTTACATGATCTGCAGGGTTGTATCAGCAGACTTGCAGGGATTTAAAGTTACACACGAACAGCTCACACAAGAGCTTAACTGACATTCAGTATTACATGCTCTGCTTGACACATGCTTAGGCTTAAAGTGCATTTAGATCCCCGTTGCATAACAATGTAGTTGACAATTGTAATTGCAAAGTCCCTTCCATAATGCAAAATCCATGGAAAGAGATCTTAGCATGAATGAAAAGCAGGTCTCTTCAGTTCTGGATGTGGAGACATAGTGTCAAGATTAATCTGGGCTCAAGCTCTGCAATATGTGAGGCCATGTCACATTATCAGAGTGATACTTAAATTGAAACACCTCTTCCCATCCAGGGTAACTGTCCAAAGAGAATTTCAATATTGTAAGGGAGCAAGCACAGCATTCTAATAAATATGCTGTTAGCTTACAAAACAGATGCTACTATTTGTGTTTGTTTGAAGGCAAGATTGCAGCAGCTGAAGCCATATAACAGATAATCCCTCACCAAATAATATTCTGTTCATCACAGTCTATATGTGTGTTCTTTTTAACTCTTCTCCCTCAATGTCCCATGGTTGAACCTCCCCCCCCCACCTCCCTGAGAGAATTCTTCTTTTGAAATACCATTTACAAAACTTAAATCCAACTGCTGCTGTCTCAGTTGAGGCACTTAAGGACTTTGTTTTGCACTGGCCCCAGTGATAGCCCAAGGCATAAACAAGCATCAAAAGACAGTGGCTCATGGTATGGGAGGGAAAGCTCAAGAAAAAAAAGAGACCCTCTGCACCTCTGCAACTGCTGTAGCCTTACAGCCAGGAGGCAAATAAGCAGTCATATATCTAGAGCGGGTCAGTGGTGTGGGGAGAACACCAGACTACTTATGCACTAGGGAACTACAGCTTTCAAAGCACTGAAGTGAATTCTTACAAGTACTGACTTACATATCACTGGCATCTGTGTGCTCTGTATTGATGGGAGTTTTGAGAGTATTGGGCAAATCCTGAGGAATGCACTGAATACAAGAGGCCTGAAATAACACCTTCAGCTGTGTCCAGGTTAGAGTGGGTGGCAGGCCTGGAAAGATCTTGGTGGTACTTCTGGCAGCATCTACATGGGGTTCAGCGAATCATCTGTGGTAAGGATGTGACTCTCAATATGCTTTCTTCCTTAGGGGACGGATCAAGCACTTGGACGTGGTGACATTGCTCCGGCGGATTCAGCCTCCACTGGGCTTCGGGAAGCTTTGCCCTCACCGAGTGGCTTGCAAAGTAAGGCACACGGCAGCTTGGAGAAGGCTGGGAGTCACATGCAGTTGTGGTATCAAACACACATGCCAAGGGCAGACTTTCTGTCTCACTCGTTCCTTTGGTTGTGTGACTCCAGATATGGAAAAGATTCTCTCTAGTGAATATTGACGTGTTTATACAAAGGGCAAGGCATATATACAGAAATACCATTGCATGAAAGTGGCTTTAGAGCTCAAACAAAATCAACCTCTTAAAGCATGAAGAGCTCAAACCAAGTCCCTAGTGTTACCTCTTGTCCCAAGGCAGAAGCATGGAGGATCTGGTAAAGGCTACATCTTGCCTCAGATATATGTTCTTGGTCTCTATGAAGTTCATCCTGCAGCTGCAACGGTATTCAGCACCCAGTCTCTGTCCTACATGGCCTTACCATACCACAAAGTGGGCATAGCCCTGTTTTTCATCTTTCAGGTTCCGTTAATCCCATTTGTTCTTGCCTGTCACCTATGTCAGTGAAGGCTTCTAACCTTCTGTTTACATACACTTCCACTGGGCATATATTTAGTGCAGATGAGCCTGTAAGTGCCTCATGGGGTATGAAAATTCAAGTTTGCTCAAATGCCTACTGGCCGCTGGGGAAACAAAGGGTAGAAATTGATAGCCACATTGAAGAAAACAGTATCCAGCAGTGGGAGAGAGATCCAGGGCAAACTCTGAACATAGCTGGGACAAAAGCTGTGTATGACACATACTCCTATGATGATATAACCAAACTCACAGGCCATGGATGCTCAGTTGAGAGGGGTGGCAGACCTGGAGGGTATCATAAGTATGTAAGGAAGAGCAATTCAGTCCATGTCAAAATATGATTGTTCTCTTTCTCCTTATTCCACAGCGCCTTGTCTCCATGAATATGCCACTGAACAGCGATGGAACTGTCATGTTCAATGCCACTCTCTTTGCACTGGTCAGAACTGCACTGAGGATCAAGACGGAAGGTAACAAGCTTGCTGAGCACAAGGGTAGCTGAGCGATGTACACACCAAAGTGTGCTAAGCTGGAATACAACAACATTTTATGTAAAATGAGCCCAGTTGTTAATATGCACTACTGGGTAGAAAAAATCAGTGTGAAGATGTTTGAAGGAATAATGCCTTCTAAGAAATGTTTCTATCTCAATATTATCTAGAAAGCTAGTGCTTCTATTAACATGAGTTAACATGACATTGCAGTGATAGTGCTGCTGTAGGCCGAAGGTCAGATGGGAAGCAAACAAACTGTTAAGATATTTTCTTGGACCAGCTGGGGAAAGCAGGCAAAATCTGGGCTCAGCTTGTCCTCTTCATTGCACTCTTATCACCTTCTATAATGAAAGATACTGGTCCTGAGTCAAAACCTGGCTTGATAGATTAATTAGGTATTCTAAAAGAGCATGTGGTTCTGTCATTCACAGCTAGTCCTTGTCTCAGGAGTAGCTATGTTACATTTCAGGCACAGGAGAGCACACACACACACACACACAAAAAAAAATAAAATAAAAAAAAAATAAAAATAAAGCCTGTAGGATTAAAAAAAATGATAGTGAGGCTTTGAATCTTGTGCTAAGCAATAGTAGGCTGTAGCCAAAGAGGCTCTCCTGAGGAAAAAGCAAACTGGTTTTATGAAAAAGAGGCCCAAAGAAAGACATGAATTTTTTGTCTGTCTTAGCCTTAGACTCTCAGGGTCATCATCAGTGAACTCCTGGGAAACCATCTAACTGCTTGCTTTTTCCTTTGCAGGATCCTGTAAGTGGTTAGGGCAGGAGTCTGGAATTCAACCTCCTGAGTCATATTTCTGCCTTTGATGCTTTCCAGCTGTTTCATCCTCACCAATGTTATTTAATGTTCATGTCTTCACTGCATCATATTAAGAGAGCTGCTGGCATGCACAGGCTTAGTGAAGCACACTGAGGAGGAGGAGCCTTAGCGTTTGGAGAGTAGGAAGAAAAGTTGGAGGAACAGCACCTTTGGAAAGAAAATACAGTAGTTTAGTCCCTTGTAGTTTATACTTGCAGCAGGGGATTCTGGCTGATGGCAAGCTGAACACAAATCAGCAGCGTGCCCTGGCAGCCAAAAAGGCAAACTGTACCCTGGGATACACCAGGCCCAGCACTGGCACTGGGCAAGGGAAGAGAGCAGATCCACGGGGAGTGGAGGGGCATCACTGAGCTCTGCAGTGTGTGACAGCGACAGGGCTCGAGGGAACGGCATGGAGCTGTGTCAGGGGAGGGCAGCTGGGGGTCAGGGACAGAGGGTGGTGGGCATGGAACGGGCTGCCCAGGGCAGTGGGCATGGCCCCAGGCTGCTGGAATCTGAGGAGTGTTTGGACACTGCTCTCAGCAGAATGGTTTGGATTTTGGGTGGTGCTGTGTGGAGCCAGGAACTGGAATCAGTGACCCTTGTGGGTCCCCTCCAACTCAGGATCTTCTATAATGTTACAATTCTATGAGGAAACTACTGGAAAGGGCCACAAGGAGGCTTAGATCTTCACACTTCTAGCCGAATCTTCACCAACAATTATTTGTATTCTTCAAGGAGAAGTTAGTTTCCCATTAACAGACCTCTATTGTCATTATATTTAACCTTCACAGGATCTCAGAATTTTGAAGTACTGGATGAGATTTTTGCTTTTCAGAACAAAGTAGTGTTGTGGTTCTCTTGTTTCTGGCTTACAGAGATAGTAACACGGTCACCTTCACCCCGAGATGACTGTGCATATTTAGGAAAACAATCTCTCTTTGTAAGGGGACTTTACCAATCATCTGAGAACTTATTTGCCCAAAACTTTCCACCACTTTAAGAGCTCTGGTGTTTTCCTCCTGAGGTTGCCATGCTAGACGTGTGAAATTGCTCCTCTGCGGGCTCTGGCTTAATTCCTGTCTCTGATGATTTTCACCCTGCAGGTAACCTGGAGCAAGCCAATGAAGAGCTCAGAGCAATAATTAAGAAAATCTGGAAGCGCACCAGTATGAAGTTGCTGGACCAGGTGGTGCCTCCTGCAGGTGGTGAGTGCAGGATGCTGTCCCAATCTGTGAATGTCTGTCATTTCCCTACCTGACATGTCCTACTGCACCTCCTGATCATCAGATAGAGTACAGGGGTCAGGCTTTCTTCTACAAACTGTTAATACATGTTTACCTGGCTTGATTGTTCATCAGATTAAGATGTGGTTTTGCCTGTACCAACGTATATATATTGAGCATACATATACATGCTGAAAAATAGAGGGAAGAAGAAGGATGTTTAAATATAAGTTTGAAATTTTCATTCCTTGATGTTGCCCCACTCCAGCTGTAGGCATATGCTCTCTTAGGCATTTCTTAATGCCTTGCTGGGGACAAAGGAAGCAAACAGAAGTGAGTAGCTTCAGGGACAACGTGGACTTTATATGACTGTATAAGAGATATGGCCTTACAATCAAGCTGAGGATGCAGCCCCTTCTCTTAATTTCTTCACAGTTAGCAAAACTACTTTTACTATGCCTTATAATTCCTGTTTTATTCACATAACTGCTTTCTACTATGATACCTAAGACATACGGACACAGGGACAATTCTCAGCATTCAGAAATGGTGAAACCGACTGCTGCAGGCTTCTATGCAGCATCCCTGCTGGACTGTAATTAACCAGGACTCCAGGTCCTCCTTTGCTAGGCTTGTTAGAAGCCCAGATGCGTGGGCATCTACTGTGTCCCTTCACTGACCTTCCAGGTTTTTCCGGGGACTATCACGTAAAATACCACTTGGCAGCTTGTTAACAGTTGCAACCATATTTTGAAACCTTGCTCAGCCTCTTCTGAACTCAGCGGACTGTATCTTATAAAAATTTCCAGCAGGTTTGAAGAACGGAGAAGAGTTGCCTGAATAAAAGCTGGGTGCAAAAATGGCTCATCAACAGCTTGTGTTGAATAAAAATATAGTAAGAACTGAGCAGTGACTGCATTTCTGGGGAGAGGTGATCACTTTGTTGCTCCCACACCCATACTAGACACAAGACAGAACTTCAGTGTAGAGAAGAGCCAGATCAGATCTGGGATGGATGGTCAGTCAGATGCTGTTAATTAGAACAGATGTGGAGTATACATTACCCCCGGCTGTCAGAAGAGCATGTGCTGACCCAGGCTGGGAGGCTACTGCTACAGCAAGATCGTATGTAATAAGCCAGTACTAGAGACTAGAAAGCTTAGAGGCACTTCTCCATAACAAAAGTACATCCAGAGATGCATAGCAATAGGCATTCTCTGCCAGCTGGGCCAGTCTATCCAAACACCATGTTCTCCTCACCTCCGGATTGCTTACATAAAGCTCTGACTGTGGAGCAGTCCCTTCATTCAGCCCAGTGTACTGGTGCTGCAAGTAGCAAAGAAGTACTGTGATGCTTAGTGTTTCTGCTTCGAACTGCAAGTCTCACCTTAGAAACGCACCATTTAAAATGATATGCTTTCTTTTTCTTTTTTTTCCCCCCCGGAAATACCCCTTTCCAGATGATGAGGTGACTGTTGGGAAGTTCTACGCCACTTTCCTGATTCAAGAGTATTTCCGGAAGTTCAAGAAACGCAAAGAGCAGGGCCTGGTGGGCAAGCCTTCCCAGCGCAACGCACTCTCCTTGCAGGTGACAAATGGGCACAGAATGGACAGGGGTGATACGGTTGAGGCATTTGACCCCCCCCCTTCCCTATCAGCCCCTGTGGGGGCTGCATTGGGCTATCCCCACTGGAAAAGAGTCACTGTAACAGGGTCAGGTACAGCATGTTGCCAAGAGGCAAAATCAGTTAAGAAGCAAAAGCATACCTGGGTTCCAAGACCATCCAATGGACAAAGCATCATCATACCTCCCTGGAGTGGACTTCAGTTCAGTGAGGGGTTTGAGCACTGTCCAGATTCTGATGTCAGAAGCTTGGCTTTGAAATCCTTATTTAAGCTTCTGATCAAAAAGAAGAGCTGTTCAGAGCTGCCTAAGTACATGGTTCAGCTGGAACTGTGGCTGCTCTAGGGCTTCTGGTAGTGGATCTGAGAAGCCAAAGTTGAAAGCTTGCAGACTTGCTCAGTCAGGCCCATCAATTTATGGCTTTGACCTGTTTTGATGAAACCAAGAGACTAGCAAAGAGCATTCCTGGGTTGTATTGCTAAGACTTTCTCCCTCTCTAAGTTGGAGATGAAAAAACTGAATTTGTTGATATTTTTCTAGAAGCTGGGCAATGCTATGTTAAGTAGGAAAGCTTCACTGTGCTTAGAAGAAATAGCATTGCTTTTATACCTCATATAACCACTCGGAGATATGAAGCTCTACAGTTTGCTGTTTTGCAGGCTGGTTTGCGCACACTTCACGACATTGGTCCAGAGATCCGACGAGCAATCTCTGGAGACCTGACAGCTGAAGAAGAGCTAGATAAGGCTATGAAAGAAGCTGTTTCTGCTGCCTCTGAAGATGATATCTTCCGGGTAGGTGCTAAGCAAATTTACAAGCTGAGCCTAGACCAGTAGCTCAGCTTAAAGAGTTCTGGGTTTTTTTTGTGTGCAGTCTGTATTTCGGCTGACAAGAAGGACTAGTGGAGTCAGGGTGCCAGATCCTACAAATTTTACATGTTTTTATCTCATTTTATTATTGTCCAATTATTTATTGGACATTTTCACTGCATTAAATCTAAATAAAATCAGAATGACAATGGCCAAGTATCTGAAAAAAACACTTAAGTTCAGCCACCTTCCTGTCCATATAGCAGCAGCTAGACACACTGCAGCTTTTTATTTAGTCTTCCTTTCAGTGGCACAAGTATTATCCTTTCAAAATGTACCCCAGAGCCCAACAGAAATCCTACGGTCCTGGACAAAATTTCCTGAGCAATTATCTAAATGTTCTCTTTCTTATTTCATTCCCATTCCTTCTAATTGTACCCTCTGGTAATATTTCTTCTCCTTTGGCATGTCTCCTCTTCAAATCATTTACAGAAAGATGCTGTCTGTCCTTCCTATAATTCATCATCCAAACAGTAGATGACTAGCTTATTAAATCTTTCTTCGTTTCTTCCTCCAGGTGATTAATAGCTACTTGTGCTCTTCTCAGATTCCTTCCTATGTCTAGATACTGTTTTGTAACTATACTGTGAAGACCAGAAAGCAGTAACCTCTTTCATGCCACCTACCCAGTCATGCACTCGCAGGGTTGGTGGGAGGTATATGGACACCTTTGTCTCACCTATGCATCTGTACATTTCTTCAAGGTCCTATGAAATATCGTTAAAAGGTGACACTTTTACAGCCTGTCTATAGAGGTCTCTGTGACAGAGAAGTCCATGGACTGCATCTTCTGCCATAGAGAGCAGTGTCCATAGTGCCCAAGCTGGTCCTCACATTTTCTTTCCCTCAAAAACAGGCTCAACAGGAAATACCATGGCCCTTGCACACCTTCTTACTGACAAAGGAAAATATTACTTGTTTCTCTAACAGAGAGCCGGAGGCTTGTTTGGAAACCATGTCAGCTATTACCAAAGTGATGGCAGGAGTGCGTTCCCCCAGACATTCACCACCCAGCGACCTTTGCACATCAATAAGTCTGGCAACAACCAGGGAGATACCGAGTCTCCATCTCATGAGAAGTTGGTGGACTCCACCTTCACTCCCAGCAGCTACTCATCTTCAGGCTCCAATGCAAACATCAACAATGCCAACAACACTGCCCTGTGCCGCTTCCCAAGCCCACCCAGCTACCCCAGCACTGTCAGCACAGTGGAAGGCCATGGGACTCCATTGTCGCCCACCATACGTGTGCAAGAAGCTCCTTGGAAATTACCATCCAAAAGGTAAGCTTCACAGCACAGAGTGGGCCAATGGACCAGGGGGAGCAACAAGCATGCCAACACCAAAGCACTGCTGCCTAGCTAGAGTCACCCTGCCTATTGCTCTGCCCACAGGCTGGATTGAGCCTTCTGGGTTCTCCACTTGTGCTAAAGCCCACGGTGTAACAGATACGCATCCACTGACCGCTGCAAAGCAGCAGCAGCCTCACTGATCAGCACAGTTGATTTCTTTGGGCTTTATCATGAAGAAACTTTTATAAGGACCAAAGGGAGCCTTATTTACCCCTTTTTCACCAAAGGGAGTTGTTTTATCAACTGCTAACTGAAAGAAAAAGGAACTATAATGCATCTCTTAAGTACCCAGTTAGAGAGATCTGTGGAAGTTCGTGTTTCTTTATTTAGTGCATCATATCCATAAAGCAGTCACCAAAGATATTCTGTAAGGAGGGAAGCGAGGTTTTTGGAAATGCAATACTGAGTAAAGCACAGAAAATCCCCTTCTTTGGGCATCCATCTACACACAGATGACTAATGCAAAAGAAATGCCCCCTTTTATCAGTGGAGTATTTTTTTTAGTCACTCAGTAAAAACAGGATTGAGCTGAAAATTGTTTTTTTAGACAGAGGGCAATGTGAAAAGGTGGATAGATGCTGAGCCAGAGCAGGACTGAAGATGATAAGATGGAGGAAATTCTGTGGGTGCAGCATTGCTCAAGTAATTACTCAAGTGAAGAACCTAATGGCTTGTCTACCTCCTGCCTACCTTATGGAGGCCACAGTGTGTTATCAGCTGCCCCCCACTTGCTGACTTGTACTGATGTGACACTGCTAACATGGTGTTCTTTTCTCTCCTTGCTTCCTTGTGCACCTTCCTTGAATTAGGACGCACTACTACGAAACATTGGGACGGTATGTGTTCTCTCTCATGCTCTAACACACTCTGGGTTTAAGGCCCATTGTTTGCCCCACTGAAAGTTCAAATCCCAATTAATTCTGAATATAAGCTTTTCTTTTTAGAGTCAGTAGGTTGAAAAGGAGTTTTATGGTTTGCCATGACAACTCCAGAAAATAGAGCTTTTCTGCCCACCATAATGTACAGACTTTTTCTAGCTGGTTTCTAAATTTTTATATATTTTTTTAGAGTTTCTAGCTGGGATCACACACGTAGGCACTCTCTGGCCATAGCACACTGCAATACACCCTGCCATGTTCACACAGAAATTTGGTTTGTTTCTAACTAAACAGAGACTGTTGAATAGGGGAAGCTACCCTTTGAACCTTAGCAGTTTTACTTGGTTCCCATCTCACATGGAAGATCACTCCAGCACCGTCCTTCAGACTGTTCTGTACCATGGATATATACTTTTCTCCTAGTGCTTTTTGCTTGAACCAAATGAGAAAATAATGTTTCCTGTGCAGTCCCTGAAAGATGAAAAAACCTTTACCACACTGCTTTCTTCTGTGAATGCTAGTCAAAACTGACTCTAATATCTGTATGTCAGTACTTCAAAGATTCATGCTAACCTCAGATTTTACTCTACTCCTCAGAAAACAAACTCAGAATGAAGTGAAATATGAGGGCTGAGACTTGAATCAGAGGGACAAGGTGGAGCCAAGCAGGGAGTTAAGGGCTGTTACGCTGAGGAGTTTGAAAATATCAAATGAATTCAGGCAGCTAGTGATGAGAAGAAAGGGAGAAAAGGTGAAAAACACTGGAAGAAATGAGGACCTAAAGAAGAGGCAAGAGGGAGAGATGATGTAGAATGAAGGATTTCAGAGATAGAGACAGTACACCACAGAGCTGAGAAGGTTATTCTGTCATGGAGGCTCCTCTTTGAAGTTCATAACCTAAGCTTTTGCAGCAAGATTAAAAAGCTGAATTTCCAAGAAGCCATATGAGATTATACTTCAAGTTCACAGCCCTGGAAAAAATTTCAGGGTGATATGCACGTGTATAGAATACATGTAGTTGCAAATGACAACAAAATGTTTCCAGTATCATTCAGTATTGACTTAAGAAGCTTCCTCTGTAAGAGGGCACAGGCAGTGGTTGTTGCTTTTCTGTTTGTGAACTTTTCAGTTGTGTTCAGTGACTGATTTTTCTACCATAGCTCTGAAACACTGTAATAAACTGAGACAGATGGAGCCTGTCATTCTTGTCTCTATAGCAGGTTTTCTTTACCGTCTCTGTATCTTGACTTGTCTTTTTTGCTCATTAGCTCCAGTTCCAGAGACAGCCAGCTGGCAATTGTTTGCCAAGAGGAAGTGTCTCAGGATGAGACTTATGATGAAAATTTGAATGAAGACATTGAGTACTGTAGTGAACCAAGTCTGCTCTCTACTGAAATGTGAGCTTTGCAGCTTTAGTCGAAGTGTTTGGGTGGTTCTTGAATTAAGGGGGAGAGGTGGGAAGATGTAACATTTTTCTACAAATTTTTCAGTTTATGGGATAAGGCCAGAAAACTTTAGCTGTGCCATTCAGAATCAGAAAGCTTAAAGAAAAACAAAAAGCAGTTCAGCCCTGAGAAATAACAAAATAATATTGAAAGAGAGACCTTTTGGATCTTTTGCATGAGATTTTCCTTCTCCTCTGAATGAGACATCTGGATGTGCAGTGCCTCCCCACCATTCACTTCTTTCACCATCCCTGGATGTGTTTCAAAACCGTTTGGATGTGGTGCTCAGGGACGTGATGCAGCGGTGGGTTGTTAGGGTAGTTAGGTTAGGTTGTGGGTGGACTTGGTGATCTTTAAGGTCTTTTCCAACCTGAGCAATTCTGTGATTCTATGATTCTACGATTCTACTGCCTAATGCTCCCACATCTCGTATTTAAAGCATTCCTATCTCACGGTCTCTGTTGCTTCACCTGGACCTGTTAGCTAGCTCACATCCATTTGATAGCATGATCTTCCTGGCTTTCCTGCTGGAAGAGGGGTTATTCTGTCCAATATGAGCTACTTTCCTAGAATCTCTTTGCTCTCCTTTCCAGGCTCGCATACCAAGATGACGAAAACAGACAACTTACTCCACCAGAAAACAACAAAGGAGAGGACACCCGGCACTCTCCGAAGAAAGGGTTTCTGTGCTCCTCAGCACTAGGTAACGTCCCTTCACAACATACCAGCTCTGTTCTCCTCTGCTTTGGCTGAGTTCTTACATCTTGCTGGAGAAATCCCAGCATACATGGGGCTGGGTGTCAGTGTTTGATGCATTTAGATATTGAGACCAGGAATCCCATGGCATGCATGCTGTCCTGATCATGCAGGGGGCTCTACTGACTTTGTGTTCAGTCAGCATATAAACCTGTGGCTGTTTGGACAGTCCATGTGATCTGTTTAATCATCTTATGAATTAGAGAAGTTTATTAGAGCTCTGTAGGCTCTCCAAACAATCACTAGGGAGTCACCAGGTGGACTGGCCTTGAGTATATGGTGTTCTGTGTATATTCAGCAGGGAGAAAGAAGAAGTTGTCTCTTTTGTCTGCTACAGGGAAAACAGTGAATTTCAGTTTAAGTTAATACAATTCAAATTTGCTTTGTGCTCTAATTATACCTGAAGGTTTTCAAGTGCTGAGTCTGCAGACTGTGCTCAGGAGAAATCCATGAGCACAAGATTTTATGAAAATAAAAGAAACCTTATAAACTCAAAAAAAAAAAAAATCTAGAATAAAATGAGATATTCCATGTATAATAGTTTTCAGCCTTTTTCCTGAGTGCTGCTGTGGGAAAAAAAAAAAAGAGAAAAAAAAAGAAGAAGAAAAAAAAAAAAAGAAAAAAAAGACATTTGGGGAGAATTTAAAAAGAATTCTGCATATAAGATTTTTTTAACATATAAAATAATATCAGACCATGTAGTGTATTGTTTAAAGTGATACTTCACTTAAATCCTCTACTTAACTCCTTTACCAGGAGCTCACTTAACTCCTCCCAGATTGTACAATTGAGAATTTTAAGAGCATTTACTTCATTTCAGAACTTAAAATATTTGTCAGTGAGAATTCCTGTGTTTATCTGGAAGGCCAAATTTGTTGCCAGTCCTTGATACAATACTGCATTAACTACGTTCTAGTGAAGTGATGCAATACGTTATTACACTGTCGGTGGGGTTTTTATCAAGAAAGAGAAAACATCTCCATGGCAGCATCAGTTCCCTGTGCTAGAACAGGTATTCCCTCCATTCCCCAAGAAGGCTTATTCTCAACATATTAAGAATATAGATTCTTACTATTTTCAGACTTGGAATTTTCTTTCCTATGTTACAATGTCAATTAGATCAAGGAGTAGACAAAACATTTTAGTGCGCCATGCAGCTTTACCTTAAATAATGGCTTTATTTGCCATTCTTCAGAAGTGCATTTGTATACTTTGTAGTACTTTGAACTGCATAGGGAGCACATTTCTCATAATTACAGAAGTAAAGCTTACTTTTATATCAAGTAAACAATGCAGATATTTTAATAGTTCTTCCCAACATCTTTTATTTTATTTATTTTCTTTAAAAAAAAAGATTTTTTCTCTTCCCTTCTTTTCAGTTTACTAAAAGCACCACATCTGTACAAACTTAATTCACCAGTGAATTCAACCACTGAATTAATTCCCTTGCACTTGATCGTGATACAGACACAGCCTCATAAACTGTGGTATGTCTGGCTGCTAAGGGAGACAGGTCACATGCAAGTGGGAGGCCAATGTCACCTGAGCAGCCACACGTCTGCTCCTGAACATTGGGCACAGCCAGGCATAGCGCCAGGACCTCAGTTGCCCTCTCAGCCCTGCCAAATTTTTTGCCTGAACCAGGGAGATTTGAGAGCACTTTAACTGCTTGGGACAATCATAGAATCATCCAGAATTTTGTCTTGCAACCTGCTTGGAAAATAGTGTTAGTTAGCCCATGTCGCTCGACTGTGTTTTGCAATGATGTCTCAAAAATTAAAATCAGCAAGACAAATACAAGTACCTGGGAAAGGGTAAGGTGTAGAGGGAAAGCAGACAGCTTGATTGTGGGTGTCTTGGCTGTCTCTCCAGAGGGACTGAGGTAAATGAAATTGAACTCAGATTATCCATAGTATAATATGAGTGATGGACACAGTTGTTTGTGATTGGTGTTTCAGGCCGACGAGCATCTTTTCACTTAGAGTGTCTGAAAAGACAGAAAAACCAGGGCGTAGATGTCTCACAGAAGACAGTTCTGCCTTTACAAATGGTACATCATCAGGTACGTTTTTCATAACCACAAAGGGTCCAGCAATGCAACTGAGAATCTGTCACGTGCAATGCTCTCCCATTGCATCCCAACCAACTTTTAAACACCTTTTGAGATAATTTCTCATCCGTATTATAGGTTCAATTTTTAGAAAATGTAGTTGTCATCCCACTCATTTCAGGATTTTTATAATTCCAGGAAAGTGTTACATGGACGTATTCTTGAGAGTCATCAGAGTTATCATTACCCGATGTTCATTAAAGAGCACGATAGAAACCTAGCTATCAGATAAAAATAACTACCCAAATTGCACTCTGTTGTGCAGTTGCACTGGCTTGGACAATAGTGCACATGTGAATAAAATGTGCGAAGTCTAACTTCATACTAATGAAAACTAGCCAGTAAAGGTAATTAATCATTTAAAAGATAAACTGCATATATGTAATTTATCAGCCTCTTAAGACCTTTATAACTGCATTCAGCAGCCTACCAATCTATGCTTAGGCATGTATTAGACGGTTAGCCAGCTGTCATAATCCAGAGTGGGTTTGTGTCTTTTATTCTGATGGCTTCACTGTCACCATAAAAGAAACAGGCGCCAGTGGCAGCACCAGTCCTGCTATGTGAGGCATCCCACTCCACATACTCCCCCAAGGCAAGACAGAACAGGGGCATAGGAGCAGAAAATGCCACATGGCAGGGAAGGGAGGAGTGAGAAGTCACAAGAGCTGTAGGAGTGAGAGGTGAGTGTACCTGGGATGCTCTATGCTTTATCATTTCCATTCTTGACAGCAGCAGCAGCCAGTTATACTGTAAGGATCAAGCTCTGGAAAGCAGTGGTCTGCAGAAAGCTACAGCTGTGGCAGCGCATCTGTTGGGACAGGGTACAGAGAACAGTTCCCTGCCTTCCCCACAGCAGTGTCAGCCCTGCAGACAGAGGGGGCATATGCCTCCTACCCTCTCACCCTGCCCAGCCTGCAGAATCACTTCCTTTCAACCTGTACAAAGAGGATGGAGCTTCTTTGTCCTTCCTCATCCCACCATAGAGTTCCAAACCTAGAGGGACAGAGCTCTATCCACCTCAGCATCCCCCAGGCAGACTACAGGGTCATCATGAAATTGGCATCTGGCTTCCAGCTGGCAACACCCAGCAATGTTAGTACTTTGCAAAGTCATCTGCCTCCAAAAGTGCTTAAAATGAGAATATGAAGTGGAAATGTTGCCTCTGCTAAGCACAATAGATTCAGTTGTTCCTCAGAGCTTGAAGGAGGATTCTCATGAAATACTGATGCGTAATTATATCTAAATACATATACAGCTGAAAAAGTAATCCCTAAGAGTAATTCAACCTCCTTGGTACCCTACATTTTGGATAAACACCTTGTATGTGTTTCTACTAAGCTGAAAATCTGGTTCTGTTGTTCTGCCTGACAGATCTAGGGCTCTCCTTGAAGTCCCCACAGTGTAAAGGAATGCTGATGCCATCACAGCTGCAGGCTGTGACTTACATGATTAATTTTTAAGGGCTTTCTTCCTTGATAATATTTGATAGGACTCTGGCACGTAATTCTTGAGAAAATTATGATAAACTTTTTAAGTGACCAATAATTGATTCTTTCGTTTGTCTGCAACTGAAATCAGCAGCACAGCACACTGACAGCAGTTCACTGGAATTTCAGTGGCAGATCGATTGAGCTTGACTTAACTTCAGGTATCGAAAAGTTAGCTGTCCAGTTTAAACCAGTCAGTTCGGTCCCACTGTGGTCAACAGAGAGAAACAGCATCTCTAAAGGGCAAGTGTAATAAGCCTTGTCTAAATCTCATCCTCCAGAGTGCATTGTCAAGCAGGTATCCAAGAGGCAGGAGCTTTCTGGTGTGCCTCTGTCCAATAAGCTTGGACTAAACCCATTGCTTTGAGACAGCTGAAGTTGCAGAGACAAACTCCAACCTGATCAAGAGCCACATTTTGTATTTTCTATGTGTTTATTCCTTTGTTCGTATTAGACAGCAGTGAGCTGCGTGGCATGAGATGAGCTTCTGATTCTGATGGCATTGCTTATGGAACAGGCAGCATCCACCATGAATAAGGCGTCAGATCAGCTCTGTGCAGCAAGGGGCTTTTTGAGAAATTTGTTATCAAAAGGAAACTGAATGACTCAGGGGCTGTGAATGTAATTGTGAGAAGGGCTGGAAGGCTCAAAGTACAATCATCAGATATTGATCCTCCCACCCACAGTAGATGCCTTAAAATCCAGTGGTGGTTTTATAATTGTTGCCATCTGCTGACATACCTAAAATTCACATCTGGTATTCATTCAGGTTCTACAATGGGTGCTTAGAAAAAGCACAGCAATTGGCAGTAAAAGCTAGCAATATGGGTGGTGACAGTGTGGGAAAACGAAGCTCTGTCACAGCCAGTGGAGAAGAGGTGGTGTTTCTGGCAGGGCTGTGGGGCATAGGGCTCATCCCTCCTGTCAGCGTGGTGGGTCTAGGGTGAAAGAAGCTCAGCCTTGCGAGCTCAGTCTGGTGCTTGGCACTGGTGCAAGCTACACCACTTAAAGGAAAACTTGCAAAATGAGTTTGGAGAAACATCCCAACCATTGCAAGAGCTGACAGCTATTTCACAAGCCTCATAAAGGTCATTATCATTGGAAAAGACCACTAAGATCATCTGGTCCAAGCCTCAAGACACTCTGGGCCTCTTGTGGGTAGTTCCTCCAGCACTCTGCCATCCCAGGCCTGCAGTTTGAGTGAGCCCTCACTCCACGTGTGCCCCCTCTCTCTGCAGGCATTGGCGGTGGCCGGCCTGAGCCCCCTCCTCCAGCGAAGCCATTCCCCCACCACGTTCTCCCGGCTGTGCGCCACACCACCTGCTACACCCTGCAGCCGAGGCTGGCCACAGCAGCCCATCCCGACGCTGCGCCTCGAGGGGGCTGAGTCCAGCGAGAAGCTCAACAGCAGCTTCCCCTCCGTGCACTGCAGCTCCAGGTTCCCCGACAGCTCTGACTGTGGCAGCCCAAGAAGAGCCAGGCCGGTGTCCCTCACCGTCCCCAGCCAGACAGCGGGGAGCAGCAGGCAGTTCCACGGCAGCGCCAGCAGCCTGGTCGAAGCGGTAAGGCCACGGTGGTGTGGGGACATGGGAGGTGTGGAGGCCAATGTAGGAACATGGCCCTTGAGAGGGCACAGCAAAGCCAAAGCCCACCTGAGAGCAGGGGTCAGCAGTATGAATGGGAGGAGAGGGGCCACCATGGCCAGCATGGCTACAGGAAGACGCGGCAGGGGTGCAGTAGGGCTGGCAACTCAAGGTGCTAATGTCTGCTTTTGTCTCTGGTTCCCTGCCTCCTCCTGAAGGTATTGATTTCGGAAGGACTGATGCAGTTTGCTCAAGATCCAAAGTTCATTGAGGTCACGACCCAGGAACTCGCTGATGCTTGCGACATGACGATAGAAGAGATGGAAAACGCAGCAGACAACATTCTCAATGGTAACAGCAAGCAGAGCCCCAATGGCAACCTGTTGCCTTTTGTTAACTGCAGGGACGCAGGGCAGGACAGTGCAGGCGAGGAAGAGGAAGAGGTGCAGAACCCGGATTGTAGAAAAAGTCAGGAGGAGCTGAAGGACAGCAGGATTTATATCAGCAGCCTGTAGTTGCCAGGGCTGGAAGCAATGCTGGTTTTTTATTTGTTTCAATGTTCCTAATGGGTTTGTTTCAGAAGTGCCTCACTGTTCTCGTGACCTGGAGTAACCGGAACAGCGTTCTTCATTCATTTCTGTTGGGACGAGTCGCAGAGTTGGGTGGTGGCAGAGAGCTTGTCAGGAGCGGATAGGACCCCGGCACGCAGCCGCCTGGAAAGAGCGCGGCGCCCAGGAGGAGAGCCAGCTCCCTCTTTTTCCAGTCCCTGCACAAGGCACGACGACTGCCTCCCAAGGGCGGCCCAGCCAAACGCGCCTAGCCTCCAGCGGGCATCCTTCAACTTTGCTTGTAAAAATCATTTTGCACATGTTCTGTCCGAGCCTCACCACCCCCAGCCACCCCGGCCCCGCCGCCCGGGCCCGGAGGACGCAGCACCGCCAAAAGGGGAGCGCGGGGACTGCAGTGGCTCCTGCTGTTGGCCAATCAGAGCTCGAGGGTTGCTCACCAGCCAACCCGAGTGCAGGCACGCCACCTGCCGACCAATTGGAGCTCAGACAGCCGGCCCCGCCAGCCAGTGGGAGAGTGGGGAGTGGCCAGGCACGGGTCTCTCCTTGTCCCGCAGTTCGGTGTTTCCTTGAGAGCATGTTGCGGTTTTTATTTTGACTATTTTATTTTTATTATAATTTTTCAGAGGGAGAAGGGAGTGTTTACAAGGTTCTGTAACCACCGACCTTTTTGTTTGGGTTTATTTTCACCTTTGCAGATGTTACGTTGGTTTGACCATTGTTGTATTATTTAAGCCAGGTTCTTTTCTCCATTGGCGTTTGGTAGAAGCATAACGCTGTAGGCGAGTTTTACCGATCACTATGTACACCGAGACTCTGTCATTTGATTTGCAAGCGAGCAGAACCTCCTTTTTTTGTTGTTGTGTTATCACATAATGGCAGCGGGCAGCGCGCTTGGCACAGCCCCACACGTCCCAGGGACCAATGGGGCCGTTGGGATGCAGTGCCAAAGCAGCGCCTGCTGTCGGGAGGGGAATCAGTAACTCTTTGCATCTTCTGTTCCACAAGATATGCAAAAACAATGCAATAATATTAATTTTAAAATACAATCGTGAGTCGTGTTGGCATTAAAACTGTATAGAAAAAAAAAAAAAAAACTAATGGGGTAGGGGGACAACCAAGCAGAAGGCGTTACGCTTCAATATATTCCGTGTGATGTTTTATTGCATTGATGATGTTTCTGTTGAAGAAACCGTTATACTTGAATTCAGGTCAGTTTCGGTATTTTTCAAATATTTTTTTAAAAGGAATTGCAATTGTGCCAAGCAAATATATCAAATCGAATTAAGTTTGTTTAAGAAGAAAAAAAAAACAGAAAAAAACAGTCACTTCTTGTATATTTTGCTGCATGTCAAGTGAATCATTTCGTATTTGGAATGTGCCAAGCTTTACCTTTGAACTTTTAAGTGCTTTTCTACGTGTGGTCGGGGACAGGGGTACTATTTTTTTTCCATTTTTAATTTGTACAATGAACAAAGTGTACCTGGTGTAAGTGACTATTCTGCAATCCACTGACGGGTCAAACGTTACTGATTTTGCATATCTTGTGTTCATTACCCTTCCTCCTCAGCTCTTTAAACATGCACGATGACTTTGTTGGTAGAGTACCTTTCTTCCCGAGGCCGGGATGTTTTTTCAGGCTTTCTTCTCTTTCCTTTTGCTCAGCCTCTCCGAAGGTCTCTTCCCACAAGAGGGTGGCGAGATCCCCAAGCCCATGTGAAAGATCCATCCTATTTCTTCAGCTGGCACCAGCAATTCAGGGAGGGAGAAAGCACCTGCTTGCAGACTGAGGTTAGATAGTTCATCCTGATCATTGTAACAGGATCTTGGAATAAGCAAATGCAAATGGCAGAATCGTTTGCAAAATAAATGTGCCTAATTCTGGACTGAAAGCACTGGGTGATGGACAGAGCTCTGGATTGTTGCTTAGGAAAATTGCTGTGGTCTGGTCATGACACGGATGTTTGGTGACTTTTGTGTGTTTCCGTGCACATTCCCAGACCTTAGCATATGGGTCATGCTCCAAGTCACAAAACATCCGATGGCGCAGCATGTCCCAGCCATATTTCCCTGCTGCTGAGTGTGAACCTCTCCTGATTCACCACGATGGTACACAGCCTTAACCTGTGGCAGAGGCTGAAAAACCAGGGAGATATTATTAGATTTTATGTGTCTGATTTCTGTCTAGACTGCTGCTGGTTTTCTCCCTTTTCAAGATGTTTCATAAATTTGCAGATGAGTGCTCAGAGGTGTGATCTGACTCAGAGCTAAACTTTCATTCCAGTCTTGAGCTTCACAGATGTTTGAGTACATCATTTATTATGTATTTTTGTAATGCCCTTGGGTTTACTTCTTGACTCTGCTGGGGCCATTAAGCAGAAATAGTGGAAGATATTTTTGAAAGTGCACTTTTTCCTTGTTATTTTGAACTGACCAGTAGCAGCTCAAGATGCCTTGCCAACAAATTCTTTTAAACTGGGGAAATGTGAACCCACTTAAGCAACCATCTGGCATCAGAGTCCCAATCCAAGTCTTTGGAGAAAGCAACCACCTGAAGTCTGTCAGCCTCATTTTTCCATCCCTCTTGTCTGTACCAAGATTGGCATGCGAGCAGTTCTCCCTTTGTGAGTTTGTTGTTGGTAGCTCTGCAGTGCTCGAAAGCTACTTGAAAGGAAATAATGCTGTGCTGGCTGTTTTCTGAAAACGAAAGCAGCAAAGGGGCTCCCTATCTCATTTTCCTCCACTAGAAAGTCCCCCTGGCCCTCCCAGTAAGAGACAGAGGTGCTCCTTGCTCCTGATTAACAAAGTACTGGCCTAGACCAGCGGAGGCAAGAGGCATTATGGATGTCTGCCAGCACTTGTCATCTTTTAGGACTTTTCCTGAAGGGAAGGAGAAAAATGGAAAGGACTGTGCCTTGCACATTGCTGGTGAAGCTGTGGCTCCCCCATGGGTCAAAGCCGACAATAGCCAGGAAATACCCGCAGCCTACTGGAAAATGGCTTAGCTCCTGCAGAGAAGTGCATGGCTAGCAGAGCATGCAGATGCCTTGTGCTGTCTGAGGGGCAGGTGTTCAGTATAGGCATTGCTGGTGCCAGCTGTGCAATTTTCTCTTTCTGGAGAGGGTGGCTTTTTTTTGTTTCTTTTTATTTGAGGTACACGCAACGTGCACATTGTGACAGGTCTGAGCAAAGAGCTACTGTGCTCCTTCAGGTGGGGTGGAGTCTGGGGGTGATGGAAGTGGGGCAGGCAAAGTACATGGGAGTCCTTCCTCTCCCAGTGTGTGGGAGTAGATGGTGGGTACAGTCACTGTGCTGTGGATGGAAGCCATGGAGGAACCAATGGCCAAGGAGTGGCATGGAAGGAAGGAAAGAAAGGGGAAAACAATCTGCTGTTTGGCACTGAGCATCTCTGACTTGCAGAAGTACACTGCAGACTAAAGACATTTCTTACAAACAACAAACCTCATCCCTTTACCACTCCTGCTCATTACTCTGGGCAGTACTGATCCAGCCACACCGGGTGCATTTCTTTTTTCTTCCTTATTCTGTGTGGCTGATGTGACAGGGAAGCAAGCGGAACTCGTGGTCCAGAGCTGGAGTTTCACTATCCACAGACCTTTTTTGCATCACCTGTATCTTCAGCTGGACATACGGATGATGACGGCGTGGATGCTGCTGCTACTGCAGGGTCCAGCCTGGTTTGTTACCCTGCCCACTTCACCCAGCACGGAAGGACAGCCGGACAACCAGAGAGGTGCCATGTACAGAACCGCATCTATTTCTGCTTTGTTTTCTGACTCAGAACCCTGCCCCCAGTGACTATGACAACGATGATGAAAACAACAACAACAAAAAAAGGGCAAATGCATTTTTTACATTTCTTGATAATTTCCAAAGCAATGTATCATTGCTTTCTTTAGACTGACGCCAATATAACAGTTGTATGGGTCTCAGCCAGGCTCCTGTGTCTTTTCTGCCTGATAGTTTCAGATTGCTGTATGAAATGTATGCGCGTTTGCACACAGACACAATCGCACAAGGTGACAGCACCACGAGCCCGTGGGGTTGCGGACTTGTGTTGAAGGTGAAGCTGGAGGCCTTGCTTCATACGTCTAGGTGAGAAACCCCAACCCATGGGCCCAGAAAGCTGAAGTGGGGAATCCCCACTGAGTCAGAACTGAGCATCCTATGGTATGGGCCAGTTGAGACTGTCCCAGGATAGGGTGGGAAGAGGAACAGTGAGCGGGAAACAAAGTAAATAGAATCCATTCAGAGGCAGTGGTGAGATTTTGTAAGTTCCAATAATTAATTTGTAGTACGTACTAAAAATACATATATTCCTGGCCATCAGAAGCCCTGTTCCCATCTTGCTAATACAAGGACAGAGTTCACTAGTGGTCAGGGAGGTTTTACTAATGTAAAAGATGTGGAAAACAGAACTGAGCCTAGAAAGAACTTAATATTATTTTTCCTACATTTCTTCTCCAAAGATTAAGAAAAGCAAATTTCAATAGCTGCATAGGATTTCTTTTCTCATCTTTTGAATGTTGCAAAGATATTAAAGTCTCATTCTGGGTTAGCAAGCCCAGGGATCCAAAAGGTTTCCAATGGGGATCTCAGTCTGTGGAGCTTTGCTCTCTCTTGCTTTGTTTCTGGACAGCTGAATTGTGGCCTTGCTGCTCCAGTGCCTGAGAAGGTATGGCTGAAGGCAGAAACACAGCAAAAAGAAATCCTGTACTGAAAACAGACCAAGCTATAACTGCTATCAGAGCAGTAGCATCACACTGGAGTGGAAAAATCCTTTTCTGAAAAGAAATTTAATGTTCTAGTTCAATCTTCCATCTTTCCCCCACCCTATGCAGGGAACGTGACTTAACTGTTAACACATGATCTTAAAACAGGCCTTTAAGGGCACAGACCTTGATTGAGCTGCCAAAATGTGTGTATCCTCTGCTATCTGAGACACCCTGCAGTATTCTGCCCAGCCTGCAACAGAAGAAGTTCCAGGAGGGCAAAACATTTCCCCTTGACTGGTGCCATGTCTGCCAGCCCCATGTGTGCTGTGTGGGCCTCAGGCGGCAGGGGACAGTTAGGCAACTTAACCAAGTCCCTTTCTGAAGGGCTAACCAAGCCGAGCAGCACCAACGGCTGAAGTAAGGAGGAAATCTTCTTTAGCATTACCAAGGGCTTAGCAAGGCATGACTGGGAGCCCATCTCCATGCTCCCATGCTGTTCTCCCACTCCACGCCATGCGACCAAGCCCTGCTCCTATGGCCTGGAGCCCTGGCACCCTGCCCAGCCCTTACCTAGCACAGGCCTAGTGCCTGCACCCCAGGCCCTCGGAGTAGCAGCAAGAGCAGGCATGGTCCCACCACACAGTGCATTTTTTTTTTCTGACAGCGTTCAAATAACCCCTTTCCAAAGCATTTTCCTATTCAAGACAGACCCACGGGCTCAGACACCATTCATTAGCCTCATCATTCTGAGGATAAAATACCTGTTTTTCTGTTTTGTTTTGCATTTTGTCCAGTCAGGCAAAATGCAAACTCTTCCTCAAAAAGGCTGTAATGCCTTTTATTTTTTTATTTTTTTCTAATAGTTTAAGCATCCTAAGCCAGTCCACTCCCATCCTAAGCAGGTAGACTGCTAACCAAGACTACCTAAATATCATCAACTTCACGACTGCTCATTGGAGTGATTGGTTCAGGATTATTCAGTCTTGACAATTTGAATGTGGGAAGATTTCAGAGGAGGAGGAGTCAGATTGTAAATATCTCTTTGACAACACTGCTGCATCACACACAAAAACGGGGAGATACTTTCAAAACTGCCTTAAAAATCAATTCCGAATGACGGAGTCTCCCTCCAAACAATTGCCACTTGGTAGACCAAGGGATAAGTCGCTTTGGGTAAATTCTAGCAAGAAGTGGTTGGAATCTGGTCCAGTTTGGGAAGTGTAAATGTAATTTAGGAGCTGATCTCTCTCTCAGTCTGACTTCATATCCACACTAACGACTGAGCACTGCAGGATCAAAACTCCTTAAGGCATGGGGTTGCTGTACCTGGCCTGTATCTGTATGGCGCGGTCTGGCCTGGCAAGGTACTGCATACCTGTGTTTCCCGGTGACTTCAGGGAAGATGGGGTTTCCTCAACACCTCTTCAGTTCAGGCCCTGGAGCATCATTTCCTGCTCTGATCATCAGCTATAACTGTTGATAAATATAAGTGTTTTGCCTTCATTTGAATTGCCCAGAGCTGTAAAATGACCTCTCTCAAGTATAAACCAGTCAGTCACCTCCTCTCCCACTCTTCCCTGTGCTCTCTGCCCACCCCAGCCCTCCTCTCACCTCCGCCCAAGTCCTTTCCTCTCTCAAGTCTTTACCTCCTTCCACAATTTTATATCTAGTTTTCATGAAGCCACAGAAATGCTTTTGTAAATAATGCTGTACAGTTTGTAACCATCATGTAAGCCTGTCATCAGTGCCAGAGTCCGTCTTGCCCTCTCGCACGTTTTAAAGTCAACAGAGAAAAGTTAGAGTGAATGGCCTGCAAGCGAGCTATAGGGTCATCTCTGTGTGGGACAAATGTATATTCCTGTAAGATTGCATTTTTATCTAAGGAATGATGTTATTTTAAAATTGCTAATAAATTTCTAAACAATGTCCAGATTTGTTTAATATCGTAAATGTTACGAGAACTGCTTTGACATTGCTCCCTTTGCTCAGCGGTGGCTGCAAACTACGAGGGCATCCTGCAGCCCCTTATTTCCCACTGGCGGTCCCCTCTAGGTTTGTGGAGTCTCTCATGTGCATAAGGGGCTGCAGAACAGCATGGGATAGTAACAGGCTGTCCTGTTAAACATTAACTTAGAAAACCCTGTCACTTGTGTACTGTTATCATACAGAAATGCTACCTTGTAATGATGCCCAAGGTATGACTCATTCATAACCAAATAGTTACCATTTTCTCTACAGGATTCTCTTTTATTAAGTGTATGCATCAAAAGAGGAATGCCTGCAGCCTAAACACCGTGTAATTAATCTCTACATAAGCCATGAAGCTAATGGGACGATAATAAGTAACGCATTACACATTTACTTTTCAATCAAACAAATTTGTTCTAACAACACAGTTATCAAGCCATTATGTTGTAACGCCAGCTGAGTGCTGCACAGAGTGCCACAAAGTGCTTAGCCAAAATATGCTGGCATAAGATCAAGCGCAAGAAAAAAGCATGCTTTTTTTATTTTATTATGTGTATATTTATATTCCCCAACTTGCACACAAAGGCCGGAAGCTCAAGGTTTGTTGTTAGGTAGTGGTGTCACACACCGGTTGGAGCCAGGAGGTGATCTCAAGCCATGGATGCCACCACTAGCATGAAGAGCTGGAGGACAGGACAGGACCACCAGAGCTCCCATGCCTCCAGGCTCAGGCTTTTGAGCAATTTTTTGTCACCACAAGCCCAAGGATGCACCATGCCCTTGGGTTGATGGTTGGACTGGATGATCTTAGTGGCCTCTTCCAACCTTAATGATTCTGTGATTCTATGCCCTCGGCTGTTGGTGGAGCAAGGCGTGCAGCTCCGCTCTGCTGCCGGCTCACAGCGCCTGGGCTTTGTGTAAGAGCCACGTGGAGACTTGGTGGTGAAAGCCACTTGTGGGTGTACCGCAGAGCAAAGAAAGGTGTGAAACTGGGTGAAACCCGTGAGACCGCCGGCAGCAAGCATTGCACAGCTTCCTTTGAGCCGACTGCACGCAGAACTGCCCAGAACACTTGAGTACACAACCCTGTGTCGGAATGCTGCCTATAACTACGACACTTTTATCGGCGCACGCTTTGCTCACGACGTTCTCCTGAAGCTGGAGGGCGGCACCCCACAGGCAATCCCCGCAGCCCCGTCCCGCAGGCCGCAGAGCAGCGAGCAACCCTCCGCCCCGCCCTCCCCTGGGCCGCACCCCCAGCGAGCAGCGCGGAGTGCCGGCCGCACCCAGCGTCCCGCCCCGCCGCGCAGCCCCTCCTCAGGTGCGGGTCGGCCCCGCCCGGCGCTCAGGTCGGAGCCCGGAAGCCCCGAGGTCGTGGCGGCGGCAGGGCTATGGCGGGCGCGGGCCGGCCGGGCTTGTCTCCTCCGCTGCTGTTCCTTCTCGTCCTTCCCGTGCCGCCAGCGGCCGCCGCGTTGCGCTTGCTGCTCGGCGCCGCGCCGCCCTTCACGTGCTCGCAGCCGGTAAGCGCCGGGGAGGGATCGTGGGGAGCTCCGAGGCATCTCGGGCCCGGGGAGCGTGGGGCTGTCGGGGCCCTCTCCGAGAGGCGGAGTGCTGCCGCTCCGAGCCCGGGGCCGGGCCTCTCCTGTGCCGGGCACTGCGGCCTCCCGCTCCCGGCCTGCTGGGAGGGACGGGGATGCCGCGCTGGGGAAGCGGCTGCTCGGATGTAGCTGTATTCCTTTGCTGCGGGGTGGTGCGGCTATGAATGGGTCTGTGAGCGGTTTGCTTCTTGTAGCGCAGTCCGTCTTCTGCTTCCTGGAAGGGCTGTGTGCTCACAGCTCTCGTGAGAAAGGAATTTCCCTCTGTGTGTGACATCAGGGTACGTGTGGTCAGCGGCATGGAGAGAGACAAGTCCCATCTGCTCTGTGGCAGGCTGTTTCAGAGCCTTGTGCACGCATCACTGAGTGAAGCCTGCAGCACAGTATCCATCATGTCGTGTAGAAATATTTTCCTGTCCCGCCCGCGTCAGACCGACGTTGTGCTGAGTGCTGGGCTGACAGACATGTCCTGTACTCCTGGTGCCATCTGCCTGGCCTCACAGGAAGCCAGGGCCCCTCCTAAAATGTGACACTCTTCATCTGTAACCATCTCCTATATTCATTTTCTGTCTTTTGTCTACTCAGTCCTTTCCTGAAGTTTGGTCACACTCTTGTTCCCATGTTACCTGATCTCTCCTCTGCTGCTTTATGCTCCTGTGTGAAAATATCCCCTTAAAAGCAGTTTCCACATTTTTACTTTGGGCTGGGTGTTGTGAAATTACAAAGTGAAAGCTCTTGGAAAAGGCAAAGAGCACATTACAAAACTGCATGGGCATCCCAAACACCATTAGTCACACAGAGCTTGAAAGCAGCGCAGTGTGGAGTTCCTGCAGTCCTTGATGTTTGAACTGACCATCTCCCTGGCTCTCAGTTTCTTTCTTTTAAAGGGAAGACACACAACTGAGTGCAGTGAAGGACTCCCCAGCGCAGCTCCAGCTTTCAGAGAGGAGCTGGCTTAAAAAACAAACCTGAGAGCAGCTCTGCTGAAGGGAACAGTACTGCTGCTGACACACACATGCAGAAGTGCGACTGACTGAGGCTGCGGCAGTTGGTAGCCGTTTCCCTTTTCTGTCGGTTGCAGGGAGCCCCTCCTGTGGTGTCAGAGTTGGGCTGGGTGCTGAGACCACATCCTCCTGCTCACCCGCTGCTGCCAGGCGTTGAGGAAGGGCAGAGTGAGCAGCAGCGGATTTCCAGCAAGGGGCAGAGGAGTGAAAGTGTCACAGTATCAGTATCACAGACACCTTTAATTGTAACAGAAGTAAAATAAATGCTCAGTAGCAGGAACCCGGTGTATTAAATTGTCAACAAATGCACTTAATGTTCCTTATTCACCACTGCTCCATCCAGCCTGTCTGGCTGTAGACTAAGCAGCAGGGCTGCAAACTGCTCCTTCCAGTAACTGTTACTGGAATGTGTCATCTCCAGGGAGATGGTGCTGGCTTTCCTCCCCAGGCACAAACACATTCCATCTGGCTGTTCTTCTTGAGTGCCCTTCGTGAGGCACTGTACCTGGTGTCAGCGGGATGTGAGGTTTGTGATAGATGTGCCTAGTTGGGTGATGGGAGTTACTGTTGTTGGTTCAATGATATTCACTAAGTCTCCAGAGAAGATTGATGGTGATGCATGTGAGGAAGCCTTTACTTGTGCCTCTTTTACAAGCATGTTCACTTTGCTTTTGCTATTGACCTTCTCCTATTGCTTTCTGCAAGAGTTTGCTGTGTAGGATAGAACCACTGACCTTGTTCACAATTAGACCTGCTAAGATAGTTCTGGATTACTTAGCCTAAAAAGGATCAGTGATCAAAGCTACCAAAACATGATATAAGAATACACTCAAAGTAATTTTAACAAAGTAACTTCAGCTTTTGAAGTTGGATTCTATTTTGCTTAGGATTTGTAGAAGAGAACATTTTTCTCTATAGCTTCTAAATTAAAACACATACAATTTGTAGAAAATAGTTTTCCATAAGCCTTAAATGAATCGTTTTACAGTAATTATTGGTTTTATGTGTTCACGTCCTATTGATCTCTGCTGCTTTGAACGGACAAATCAGGAAAGGGAAACTGTAGAAGACTTCGTATCAGACAGGCATCAGGAGAGAGGCAGCATGGCCTGGAGGTGAGGGGCAGATCTGGAGAGCTGGAGCTCTTCCCACTCAGCAGTTGCTCTTTAAGATAAAATTGGCTGCCTGCCCAGCTTACTTCAGTTTCTTGCTAGTTACCACAGCATCCTGCTGGGAAATCTTGGCCTCCAATTATTTTAGTTGAATTGTTATGACGTGCTGCTGTTATTCAGTTTCTCATATGTTTCACATCCATGTGATTCTCCTTGGCATATGGTTTGTTCTTCTCTGATGTCAAAAGGAAGAAAAAGGCTTGAAAAAGTAAAAGAAACAGTTGTTTGGCTTTCTGTCAAATATGGCAAGTAAAACAGGAGGAGTTGGCCGTGCCTGTGCTCCTCTGCCAGAAGGTTCCAGGCAGCACGTGTCCCTGTAGCTTCGCTTCTTCATCTTGAGACGCAATAGGAAGTATGGGGAACATCTCAGTTAAAGCTTCTTCTGTACCAGCACACACACAGCACCCTGCCTGGCTGCAGGCTCCGTCTCCAGCTTTTGTGCAGAGCTCTGCATTTGTTCTGCCATCTCCTCCCATTTGCTTGCTTGTCTATCCTGTGCAGCCTGACATGTATTGGCTCTGTCAACGCTTCTAGTTGTGTGTGGGTGAGCAGAAGCAACCATCGCTGTAATTGTATTTCTGTTGTATGATCTGAACTTGTGTTTGCTCATGGAGGGAAACTAGATTAATTGTTTCTGCTGACTGCAGCTTTGCTAATGCAGTCTGAATGAGCAACTGCATCAGATAAGGCTGAAAATCAGCAGTATTCCCCTCCAGTGCTAAAGGGGTAGCTCATGCAATTCTAGAGGTAATTAACTTGTTTTACTGCAAAACTGACTTATTTTTGTCTTTAATTGCCTCCTGGTTTTGAGCTGTCATTCTCCGGAGTTACGTTCTTTTGGTGTAAAGTTGAGTCAGCATTGTGGCTTCATCTCCTGTTGGTTTCCAGTGGCCAACAGTAAGGATATGCTGACTGGATTGATTCTTCTTCTGGGTGTTCGGGGCTGTTGGGTCATCCCTGTACTGCCTTGGGGCTGGGAAAGGAGTGGGCCAGTGCAGGCTGCCCTCTGTATAGAGGGTCCTTCCCTTCTGGTGGCAACCTTATTAAATTCTTAACTACTAACAGCATAGTAAACCATCATGGTTGGTGCGTATGGGGTGGGAAAACACTCTGATAGCTCCTTGAACAGGACAAGGGAGAGCAGTTTCAAACTACAAGAGGGGAGATTTAAACTGGATATAAGATGATATATATATTTTTTTTAATGATAAGGGCAGTGAGGCTCTGGAATGGCTTGCCCAGAGAGGTGGTGGATGCCCCATCTTTGGAGACACCTAAGGTCAGGCTGGACAGGGCTCTGAGCAACCTGATCTACCTGTGGGTGTCCCTGTTCATTGCAGGGGGATTGGACTAGATGGCCTTTAAAGGTCCCTTCCAATCAGACAATTCTATGAAAAATCATTAGGTGGGTCTAGGGCATGGTGACACCTTGTTGTTTGTCTCAGTAGAAAATCAGTGTTGAAAGTTTAAGCCATCTTAATTGTCAGACTTCAGTTCTGAATTATCATTAACTGAGTGTTCCATGTTCAGCTGTTCTTTTTCAGAGAACACCAGAAAGGGAGTAGTCTCATCCTGGAAACGCTTCACTCAGGGCAGTATAACTGGAGGAAGAGTCCACTGATCTGTTGCACTGGTTCAATGTTCACATTGATAATGAAACAAAACAAATTGCAACTGTTGCTTGGTTAATTGTCTTATCTGCTGATAAACAGAAGCACCAGCATGCAGATAAAAGCAGATGGTGGTGCTCTTCAAGCAAATAATGCGTTATAATTTATATAAGAACTGTATCATGGGGCAGTTTACAGTAAGTACTGATAACTGAAACAACAGGAGGACAAAATGACTGAGTAATAATTGATAGCTTTTAACAAAAGTAATTAGGTTACAAACCAAACCCGTGGATTGTATCCCATTATTTTTGTTGCTCTGCTCAGCCCACCCCTCTGCTCACTTGCTCCTCTTAGCCACCTGGGGAGAGCCAGAGGGTCACAGAAAGGAGACTTATGGATCAAGCACACAGCTGTAAGGAGCTGCATATAGAGGAGCGAGGAGGTGCCTCAATGCTGCACGAGTACTGCTTGGCTGTGGTAACTGGCTCTACTGCCATCACAGATTCCAAATGCAGCTGCTGTGAGAAGGATTGACTCCATCCCAGCCAAAACCAGTGCACCTGTTTATGCAAGTGGCACTGTCACTTTGAATAATTTACTTAATATACATCTTTCTGTGAAGGTAGCATGGATAATTTTGTCACGGTTCACCAGCATTTGCTTGCTTGCACTCAACGTTGTTTCCATTGCCAAATGTTTCCATTGCAGATGTTACATGAGAGTCTTCCAGTAGTTGAAAAAAGAAACCAAAAACTATAGCTGATTTCAGAGATACAAAGTTGTGATAACATTTCTATTAAATATACACACCTTTTTTAAGTACAAAAAGATATAAACAGTGGAGGATTTATCTGCAATAGTTGGTGTAGTGTGTGTGGTGTGGTGTAGCTGTAGGAGTAGTAGTTCAGACTAAGTTGCTATCTGATATTCAGATTATCAGGGTATTTCCTTCAGTTGTGGCTGTTCTGACCTTTATAGTCAAGTTCCTTCTGGCCATTTTACGTGTTGACATTAAACATATTGATTTATTTTGCTCCCAGTTACAGTACAGATCTGTTGCCCAAAGCAGGGCACTGCTGTGTGCCTCTTGGTGCCACCTGTCCCAAGGCCCCATCTTGCAATGAGAAAAGCCCCAGCCTGGGGCTGGGGTTCTCCCAGTGAGCTCTGAACCACTACTCCAGAGCTGAAACAGTGCAGGAGAAGGTAAGGGTTCTGCCTGCATAGATTTATATTTAAATATGCAAGGTGGCCGATCGGGCAGATTTCTTCCTTGTGATTGAAATGAAATGATGGTTTTCTGAGCAGTAATGAAGTTGATCGGTACTACGTAACATAAATATTGCACTGAACCTTTCTCAGTATATCTGTATTTGTATATTGAAATAGTCCTCAAGCACTTGAGACAGGTGTTTTTATACTGCCACTATTTATTGCAGTGTGGATGTGTTACTTGTGATGGAAGCTTGAAGATTTACACCTTTGTGTTGTTTCCACTTGCATAAAAGCCTGGAAGAGATGTTCAGTTTGGTTGGTTGGTGGTGGTGGTTTTGTTGGTTTGTTGTTTGTTTTTTAAGCACAAGGACCTTAATGCTGAATCTGCTTGCTTTTTGCTCAAGGTTTGAAAGAGAATAGTTGTGCTTGCTGAAATATGACCACTGATGACATGTGTGCTTTTCCTGAGCTAGCAGAGCTGTGTTCTCATTTGAAATAAACAAGTGGTCAGTGTGGCTGGTGTGATGTCTGACTGTACCTGCAAGCCAAGCCCCAAGCACACCTTGTATTGGCCATAACAAGCTGCACAGAGCTCAGAAACAACACTGCCTTGTCTCATGTCATGACCACAGTGCACTGACAACATCCCCCTTCCTTTGAGGCAAAGGAAGAGAGTGGGGAGGAAAGCTTGCCTTCATCTTGATCTGTGTAGTCGGCAAAAACTTTTCTTATCACTAGGATCACATTACCAAGCTACTTCGCGTGCTTTTTTCCTACTGATGGTGGGATCTGCCAGCATAAGCAAAACACATGTGGGGAAAAAAAAACACGTGGAGAAACCAAGCAGAGCCCCCATCATCTCCATGTGAATGTGCAAGGCATGCGTCGGGTCATCGGGCAGTGGCTAAACCCAAACCCAAGCTTTGCTTTTCTGTAGAACAACTTTATGTAGATGTGTGATGGCTGATTCTGCCAGCTTGTATGCCTTGCTATTCACTAAATTGCTTTCCTCCCGCTACCACAGAGAAGCAAACTTTTTTCAATTCAGTTTCTATTTAATGAGTAATATGCTTTTTCTTTTTCCTTCCCCCAACAGGATTTAAAGTGCCTCGTAGGAAATAGTAAGTCATGTTTTTCTTCATTGCCACATTCTCATCAGATCAACCCTTTGTTTTTTTAACTGGCTTCATACAGAAAGTCCTTCCTGCTGGAGTCGAAGAGATGTGAAGCAAAGCATTGCTTGGGGAGTCTTCAGTTTGATCCATGATCAATTCCAGCTAAAAGACAAATGGAAAATTGTCTCTTTCCCAGGGTAGAGTTGGAGTGTGGGAAAAAGCACGCAACCCAACTTGTTTAGTTTATTTTTAAATCCAAGAGAGCCCATTTTTAAAGAAATGGAATTTGAGCACAAGTTTTTCAGTACATGTTCATTTCAAACTATTACTTGTATGATAGTGCCCAATGGAAAACTATTGGGCTAAATTTTTTTTAAAAGGGAGCATGAAGATTTCCAGCTGAGTGTAAGGAGTGTATATTACTGGGTATGAACTGGAAAAGGAAACTGAAGTTATTGTAGGTCACAGACTCTAAACATTTTTTGCCAAGAAAAGGGGCTGGGTGGGATGGGATTGGATCATATTTCCCATTGGCAGCTGGGCATTACAGTACAGCCTGGAAGCACAGCAAAGCCAAACTGCAGCTCCACCATCAGAATTCTCCCTTGATTGAATTTGGTTTAAATTCTGGCTCTTGCCACCATCACAGATCTATTTAAAACATTCAAGCAGTAACAACTTCCCTCTTGGAGCTCCTCCTTGACTTGATAGCCTGGTTCTTCCTGTGTTGGTGCTTTACTCATACTCAGCAAAGCTATTTTTAATGTGCCCAGATGATCCACTTTTGTCCAACATTTCACTTATCGTATCCATCTAATGCCTGTCATACTTGATAACACTTTCTGATGGGATTACAGGCCCTGTTTTCCCTAACATTCTATTGACTGACATAAATTATTTTTCTGTCCAGAGGGCTCATTCCTTTAGGAAAGGCAGTGCAAGAGCAGTCACTGGACGCTGAAGTCAGATGTGTATTCAAATGAGAAATAAGGCAGTTGTTCCAAAAGTTAATTACACTGTTTAAAGAAGTGCTTGAGTACCTGACGTTATCACTGGAAAGCTTGAAATGAGTGCTGATGTTCTAGCACAGTTCTGTTTCAGCAGCAAGATAAGAGCTGTGGGAGGTACTGAGTAAAGTTACCTGACCCAACGAGGCTAACTGTGATCATCTATTAATGGATTCCAAGGAAAAGAGGAAATACAAGTTACCAGAATGCCTGAGTTGAGAATATTACAGGCAATTTATAAATTATTGACTTGCTGAAAGCTGCCTTTTTGAACGGTGAAGCAATCTATTACTCAGATTTGCCCTCTGAGTAACCCTCACCCAGCAGCAACTGCAGTTAAGCAGACTTTATTCCATCCTCCTCTGGATAACAGCTTTTATTTGCTGGGCAGGTACCTGCATAGAGAGGAGCTGGCTGCAGAATCAGACATGGACACCCTCTGCTCCCAGTAGCCTTGATGTGTTCTCTGATGTTTTCCGTCAGACAGATGGAGAGCTGCTCCCAGTGCTTCGGATAGAGTGGAAGGTGGCCACCGATGGTAAGCAGAACAGAGGAATGAGCTGTGGTCTAGGAAGGACAGGGAGGAGAATTATGACTTGAAGACTTTTACTGATTGAGCTGTGGAAGGACAGCTTGAAATCTGGGCTTTTGCTGCTTTGCTTTGCTTTTGCTTGAGGGGTAGGTTTGTTTTTTCTTGAGGAATGAATCAGGATTTGGGGTATGCTGGGGATTCAGAAGTTTAAAACACTCCCATTAGCATGGATAATGGCACTTAAAATGGGAAAAGCAGATGAAACCTAACCCAAGAGTGACACGTACCATTACCACCATAGCAAGGAGGAAGAAGAAGACTTGTGCTACGAGCTTTGCAATAGTACTGACTGCTGCAGTCTTATGCAGGAGAATTACATCTGCAAACTGAACAAATGAGAGTCAATTTGAGAGCATGCAAATATTAATTCATGTGCTGTTAACCCAGTGCAAATACCTCTTATTTAGGGTAATCTAGTTGTTGTAACTTAAATTTCCTGTATGCACATCTGTCTTGGTAAAGAAATAATTGACTTATTAGAATCTTAATGAGTACCAGTTAGTTAGGTTTTCTTACTGTCCAAATATCTGATGGATTTTTTGTTTCTATATGATGTTCTGCTTATATGCTCTCATTCATATTTTTGCAGTTATTCAAGATAGGAAACAAACATGCTTAATTCTGCTTCTGCAGGATCTATGTCTGAGGGTAGTATAGAGCTGTTACCTCAGCATAGCTAAGAAGCAGGTGTGCCTCAAGTAACCCAGAATCACAGAATCACCAAGGTTGGAAAAGACCTTCAAGATCAGCCAGTCCAACCATCCACCTATCGCCAGTAGTACTCACTAAACCACATCCCTCAACACAAAATCCAAACGTTCCTTGAACACCTCCAGGGTCAGTGACTCCACCATCTCCCTGTGAAGCCCGTTCCAGTGCTTGAACCCAATCACTTGGTGCAGCCATTGTTATGAACTTGCTCACTCACTGGGATTGTTTATATCAAATAAAGCAAGGTTTGCTTTGGTACCAAAACCACATAAAGCAGTATTGAAAGGCAGAGTTAAATACATCACCAAACAAGCCGAGAATTTCCAGGGTGCCTAGAGGATGCAATTGCCTGCTGCTCTGCCCCTTCATCAGCATGAATGGAGCTCTTGCTGTGCAGGACAACCTTTAAGCTAATAATGGTGTTAGTCAGCCCTGCACACTTGGTTTTTAATAGCCAGTTATTTCTGTGCTGAGATCTCCAGCAGCTCGAAGGAGTAAGGCTTCAACAAGTCCAGGCATAGTGATAATCTCTGTGGGGTTGCAGCCTTTGCACGTGCAGCTGACAGGAAAGGGAAAACACGTCTCTGTCTGTGTGCCTGCAGCTAGCATCCGCTATCTCCGAGGTGCAGAGCTGGCTGTGATGCAAGTGAGCAGCAATCAACAGATCTGCGCCCAGTTTGAATTTCAGAACAACTTGCCTCTTCAGGTCCGTCCAGATGGAGGCCGGGTGAGTGCTAAGGGCCCTGAACTACCATGGGTTTGGTTCCGCTTTTCTTATCTTGTAGCAAGCCTACCTTTTTTTTTTTTTTTTTCCCCTCTTTATGTACAGACTGGTTAGTCAGAAGAGTTGGCATAACGATCAAGATTTTGGGTCTGAAGTCTGGTGTCATACCCATTTTGTTCTACGCTTGCATGTATCCATCTACAAGCTGCTCTACTTAGTTTCCCTTTCGCTTTTACTGTTCTCTGAGTTTAAGTAGTCGCTCTCAGTCCCTACCACATGTCACTGTTTTGGATGTTGCTTAAAGCAAACAGTTGTGGGAGTTTTTGCAATCTGTTTGGCCATTGTGACTCAGCCTCCTTTCAAACTCAGCCTTTCTTTTTAAGTCAAGTTCTCTCTTGTACTCTCTTGATGGAGAGGAAAGCACCAACCTGGTCCTTCCAACTTGTGCTTGGTTTAGGGAGCCCATCAGAAAATCACTGAGCACCCCACATCTCCTTACTGGAGAGGAGGATTTTGGAGTTTGTTCTCTATCACCCAGAACTGGGCCAAAGTTCATTTACCAACTGAAGCCATTCCCTCTTCCAGAAGTTGAATAACTTTACTGATATGTGGAAAACAGCATAAACTTAGTATGTGTGTATATATATGTAAAATGGCCAAGTACAGAACTCCACACAGTTGTTTGCTATGAGATCATTGTATCAGCTCAGAGATTCCTGAGAAATACTTTTTCCCTTCATTCCAAATGTAAGAATTTGAGATAGACCAGAGGAGTGATACATTTAATGATTTAATGCATTTGAGTTGTTTTCTACAGTCAAGTTTTAGAAGAAAGTTCATGCGAGACAACAGAATAGGGCAGGACCTGTTAATTTCAGTTTCTTGACAGCAGTCTCATTTTGAGTGTGTTTTGTTTTCAGTGGAATTTCACTTTTAACCGCTTTGAGGTGGAACCTGGCCAGACTTACCAAGTGACTGTCTACCACTTACCCAAACTGAGTGTAAAGGGAGACTACAATTGCAAGTCTGTGTCTCTCACAATGCCTGGTAAGAGATGCTCTGTTTTCCTTAGGCTTTGAGCTTAGAACTCTGTTTTCTAACTAATGGACCTGTTTTATTGTGTTTCTTAGGTGTTTCTTTTTCCCACAAACTAGGCCCATGAACTGTGAGCAAGTTTGGTAATAAAGTAATAATAATATTTTTCAGCACCAGTGCAGCTGTGTTATACAGAGAAAGGGAGAATCACTGTGTGATACAGGCTACCTTAAGGGGGGGGGAGGGAGGGGAAGTCAGTGAGAAGAGACCTGCCCAGGGTCACTGGTCTTCATGAGAGCTGGTGATGCAATGGGAGTGGAGCCTGGAGCAGCAGTGTAACACTCCTGCACATACAAAGGCAGCTCCTAGGGGGAGGATGAGTGACTGGGAGTGTGCTGGCTGGGATGGGCAAACGGGGAGGGCATGGCACAGCAGTTTGAGGATGCACAGGGCAGACTGCTTTCTTCTTATCTGGGAGCACTACGATGCAGCGCTCTGTTGAAACAAACAAAGTGACCAAGTGCCACAACAGTCAGGCTGAGGCAGAAACCCAGACAGAGGGGCCACAACTTTTCTGGGCTGACACGTGCATCCAGATGAAGCACCTGAGAGACAGAGCTGCCTAGACCTTCAGTTGCATGGAACTTCAAGACTCGAGTTCCCCAAGGGCCTGAAAAGGAGGAGGGTTTCATGGGTGCAAACCTGCCCAGCTGGATGAACTTTTTGAGCAGGTGGCTAGCTTGCGAAAGGAAATCACCAGGCTGATATGTATCAACTAGAGAGAGAGAGGTTGATGCTATCATGCAGTGACATGGGCAGACCAACAGCACTGTCTTAAGTCCCAGAAAGGGGAAAAAGATAAGCAGGCTTCTAACCTTGTGGAGACAGATGGTAGAAACATGCAGGATGAGGGAGACTGGACCCTACCTAGTTGCTGTTTAGAGCAGGAGGAGGAACCTTCCTCTGAAATTCCCCTAATTAACAGATAAACAGATACAAACCTTTTAGAATAGAAGAAGAGGATATGGATAGTCAATCCACAGTCTAACAAATTTTAGGTACCTGAACTTTGATTTCAGAGGTATAGTTAGATAAGATTTACCAAGAAATTTGATAGAGCTGACTGCTTGATGCTTTCTTCTATATAGGAATATTTTGCTATGACTAAGAAGAACTTGTTTTCCCTGAAGATAGGGAGCATCTTCAATGCTCTGGCTGTATTAGCTACTTTATAAATACATTCTGTATGTGGTTTAAAAACTGGTTCATAATTTCTTTCTTGCTTATAGTTGGCAGTATGACTTTGCAGTTAGAAGATATGATGTACATGGTGTGGCAGTCAGTGTGTGCTGGAAAAAGTGAGAGGGTATTCAGTTTTCAGCCATCCTATCCTTGTTGTATGTGGTCATACTGAGCTCTTCTGGTTTTATCCTCTTCTGTTCCTCAGAAACCTAATGCACTGTGTCAAGGTCAGCAACTGCAGGGAGCTTTGCTGATTAGAGCATACTTGTAAATTACAGGGGCCTAAACTTGAAAGTTGGAAACTTAAGATCCGTAATTTTTTCTTTCAGCTGTTTAAGCAAGCAGTTGTAGAGAGTTCTTTTGATTTGTATTCATGCCTTGGAAGAGGGTTTAGGCTGAGAACTGTAAATTCCACATTGCTAAATGTTGAATGCATAACTCTGTATTAGTGTTTGAAAAAGGTCCCAAAGAGGCCCTGGCCAGTCTGCTAAATTAAGCTCGTAGAATTATAAAGAAGAAGAGAATTTGGGTTTCAAAGAAGACACCAACCTACTAATGACAGAATGTGACAGAATACTTTTGAAGGAAGTTATGGCAGTGGTGCTTTCAGTCCAGAGATCAGTATGAAGCTTTAATTCTACTATGACCCCAACTCTACCAAAGCCCTTTCTCAGAAGGAGCTGTCAAGTATTACTGTCATTATAAATACTGTATGTTTTTAGTCTTCTCTTGTTAGTATCTCTATAATGAAAAAACCTAGCATCAGTGGAAGGACTAGTTTATGCATTGCGAACTGATATTTCTCCTGTTGAAATTTGCTGCTACATTGGAGCAAAGATCTACTTATCAAGGTGTGTCTCTGGCTTCTGCTAAGAAAAAGGGTATTTCTCCTAAACAGCAGTACAGTGTTTCTGACTAGTCACTGATGGTGTGTCTGTCTTGCAGATTGCAAGGACTCTCTGATGAAAAGAACCACCCCATGTGTAAAGACAGGTAGGAATCTGTCAGAGGCATGGATGTCCTGTTGAAATGCTTTTGACGTTTGAGAAACTTGAGAATACTTCCACTATTTCCAGGCAGTCTGTGGGAGCCCAAGATCCAAGCTAAAAGTCTAGATGATATAACTCTGCTTGTGAGCTTTAACCCATGGAAGGAGCCAACCCGATACCAAATTCATGTGACCAGTTTCCTGAATGAGAGGAAGTGTAAAATGATCACACGTGATGTCACAGAGGTAATTACCTTTCTAAATGATATCAATTATATCTTCTGTGGAAATTTAGACGAACATTTCTTTAACAGTTGTTAAAGGAGTTGGAGCCAAGATGTGGGAGATGTAACGCATGCACTTGCACAGCAATTTCCAAGTTCTTTTCAGATTATTATCTTGCCTTTGAAAAAGAGAAATTTCTATCAGGAACTTGATGGTTAGAAGACCAAAAAGATGTTCTGAAAGATTTGTATTTTAATGTGTGAGGCAGAGTGTAAGCACCTGCAGTGGAAATGGAATTTTGACCTACGACTCTTCAGCCTTTATTACCTTTGTCAAGCTAGCACCTGGGAGGTAGGACTAAATAAGTTAACCAAAACCAAGGTACAAAGCTTTGATAAATCGTTGAAGTAGTTCATTAAAAGTGATGGTATGGGGAGAGTTGGTGGTTTGGTTGTTTTTTGTTTTGCTGGGTTTTTTTTGTGTTTTTTAAGAACAAGACACTCATTTGTAACAGGTGTTTCAATTAAACTGTCAATCAGTTCCTCCAGTTCTTGTGACCTGTGTGCTTGAGAAGCACAAAGCAGATGCAAAATGCCTTTTGGCATAAGAAACCTCCCCTTTCAGGTATCTGATGGAAGAGAGGTACTGAATATTTGTTACCAGTCCCCACCCTTCCTGAGGGCAGGGCAGGTAAACTGGCATTCAGCTTGCTTAATTGTTCCATTTCTTCCATACTTGAAGTTTTCATATTCCATGTACCGATGAGTGTCATGTTATTACAGCAGGTACAGCTGTGTGCACATTTTCTGGACAGAGATTAATAAACTTCAGTTTGGAGTATATCTTTGCTGAGCAGTGGAAAGAACATATTTATGTTATTAGTAAATTGATGAATTCTCAACAAAGGACAAACTTCTCTGTTGTGGTGCCAGTGGTGGCAGCAGTGTTGACAGCTTTTTTTAATTAAACATATGAGAAGCACACTTTAATTAAACATCTACACATTAAATAACTTAAGATAGTAACATTGTTAACTTAAGCTTACAGTTTCTTAACATATTTAAAGTTATGCAACGTACAGATTTGTTTCCTGTTAACTTGTGCAACCTCAGTGTGCTATCTTAACAGTGTTACTATGTCAGTCACACGTGATGGTGGCCAGACCTTTTTTAGCAATAATTGGAAATGTCTGTGTCTTTGTAATGCTTTGTATTCTCTTCTCAGCTTCTTTTCTTTTTTCCTTCTTTCATTCCATTTTCTTCTCCTGTCCATTAACTCATATCTGACTTTTGCAGGGCGAACTGCAACCACAAGCAAATGTCACAATCAAAATGGAGAAGAACTTGAAAGCTTGCTGCAACTACAAAGTACAGGTACAATCTCACTGTTGTCTCTATGTTATTCTTTCCTCAGCAAGGCAATGTGTAGCTTAAGAATTCTGTATTTTTCACACGATGTTTTGTTCTGAGCTATTACCTACATCAGGGAAATAATGATTATGGCAGGAAGAACATTTTATAAAGGTCTTCTTTGTAGACAGTGGCTTTTCCTTAGTGTAGAGTTGCCAAGTCTGAGTTTACTTTAAACTTTAAATGAGAGGTGCACAACCACAGAAGCTCCCTGCCTTGTTAATTCATAGTGAGCAGTGTAAGAATTCTTGATTAATCTTGTTTTCAGAAGGGAAGTGGGAATTCTGTCCCCCTGTGGTAAAGTAAAGGGAATGTAGGGGCAGAGGGGAAAGTCAAGCTGGAACAGAATTGCTTTTAAGAATAGCTTTTGTTTTCTGAATTTATTTTGCCTGCAGATTCAGCCATTCTTTGCCATCTGTGGTACAGACTGTCTGAGGCACTCTACTTTCATCCCATGTTCACCAGCTCCAAGTGAGAATTTCCATTTCTCTAAATTACCTTCTCAATATTTTGTATGGATGAGAACTGAATTTTAACATAACTCTTGTCTTTTGCAGGTGTGGGCCCATCAGGTAAGGTCTCCTAATACCCTGAATCATCTCTTACTACTTCTACTGTCATTTCAAATAACAAATGATCCTCCCTGGCCCAGTGCTGGGAAATGTCTAGTTGTACCACAGAGTTCAAAATGAATTGTATTACAGTTACTTCACAGCTTTAAGAAGGCAAGTATTTGTATGCAGCATAAAACATAGAGAGCATTTTTTTGAGATACTTGCATAAAATTACTTGAGAAATGCTTTTGACAAGACGAGTCTTAATATAAAATACTTTCTGTCACTTTGCCTAGAGTGTTTTTTTTTAATTGTATAATATTAAGCAGCTTTTAGAGAGAATAGCTTGCATATATTCATTTCTACAGATGTCAAGATAAATCACGTGCATAATGGTTTGACATCCTTTTTTGGCTGCAGTGACACCTGATTTTAAAAAAAGCACCTGTAGTTTGAAAAAAATACCTCACCCAAAATGTAAAAAAAAAAAAAAAAAAAGACATTTTTTTGGAAGATGTGCTATGCAGAACAGGCAGGACGTGGGCTGCGTACCTGTCGAAGCTGGGTAAACATTTCTGTGTAGAGAGAAAGATTATTGGTCTGTGTTTTCTATGTGTTGCACATACAGTTCTTTGTAGAACAAGTTTGTGGTGCAAAGCAGCATCACAAAAGCAGGATGTCGTGATGAGTGACTGTGGTGTGGCCTGTTGTAGGAGGGAAGTACTGGATCACCTGTAGTTTTGGGCAAAACTCCCCCTTGGCCCCCGCTGCTCAGCAAACTTCTGTTCCCAAGTGAAACTCTGTATTTGTGTAAGCAACATCTGCGTGCTCTTTTTGTACCACAGATGATATGATGATATGGGTGTACTGGTGTATCACTGGGATCTGTGTGTTGCTGGTGGGATCAGTCATAGCAGGTGTCATTTGTATGACCAAAAAACGAGCAGGTAAGACTCATACCAAGTAGAAACAAAAGACTTGGTGCTAAAACTACTTTTCCTATGTCTGTAATTATTCCTCTGGTTTTTTTCTTCCCACTTTGATGTACTGCCGCTGAAATAATGTCAACGTAAGTACTTTCTTCTGATCTACATCATGGGATTTGTAAGATCTTAATGCTATCCACCTATCTAAATAAAGTCTTCAATGGATTATGCTGTCTGGTACTCCATTTTCATATAGATCTTCAGAGCTTGTGAGGGGAAAAAGAAACTTCATAGTTCAGCCCTTCAATTCCCACAGATTGCTACAGATATCCTTTCCGTTTATTTTTCTCCTATTTTATGCAGGAGTTTTACAGGACAGAAGCTTCCCATTTGTCCAGACCATAGTCTTCTGTTCCACCCAGAGTCTCTGCAAAATTCCCTTTCTTACTTTTTTGAGTTTAAGTAATGTTTTTCTTCTTCCACATTCACTGAAAAACACGGCACGAAAAATATTTGTTGCACAGACTGGAGAAGTGAGCGATTAAGAGCTAATTCCTGGTCTATTATGCTATTACCATGGAACAGTTATCGCAGGAGCATGAGTGATGGGAAATATTTTGGAATATTTCTTAATATAAAATTGATCTGTAACATGTATTTAGGGACATTTTAGCTAGCTGGGTAAAATTTTAGGTAAGCCTCTTAAGAAAATGCCATCTCTACAGCATTAAAGAGAGGTAGAAGAATGTTTGGGGGTTCTGTACTCCTCAGATCAGGGGAAGATGGAGAAAATTGGTTTTGTGTGCATCTCTTCTCTCCACGGAGAAATGTAGAGAAGTAGCAAAATTGGTGGATACAAGTCTTCATTCATTCAGTATATTTTGTATTAGACTTTTTCTTCCCTGGGTCATCCTTCTGGTCCCTGTTGCCTTCTACCCCATGCAGTTAAAGATTTTTGAATGTGGCCTTTGGAAGGGGGGTTAATTTTATTTCTTACTTTCAGTACTGACAGTGACTTTCTCTTTCGTCCAGGACACCGGCGAGGAAAGTGCAGCCACTATGATTTGCAAACTGGTAAGTTGTGCTGCCAAATACATGTAATGTATTTTGGAAGTCTCACAACTGTTCAGAAAGGGGCTTTCCTGGACTCTGCTCGTCTGTAGGTGCTTCTCAAAACCAAAATGTGGCCTTGGGATCTTCCTGGTTAGTCAAAAGACACTTTGTAATAACAAGTAGCATCAGACAGAGAATATGCAAGTTGGAATGCCGTCTTTGGCAGATGGGAGATAATTGTTTTGTAAAGTGAGTGACCCAGCTGAGGCTGTACTGGCAAAAGAATCTTTGATCATCTAAGCAGTAGCAGCAGGAGATTGTTCTGAGGTGCACTGAACTCCCCAGCAGGGAGCATAGCTGCAGGTGCAAGCCTCTTGAAGCCCATGTGTTTTACTTTTGTGTGATGAAATTTCAGAACTACCCAAAGATCAATATAAATCACAGTTCCACCGTCAGGACTTTACTATAAAATTTTTACAATAGTGTGTTGTCTCTGTATGTTGCCAAATTAGCTTCAGAACTGCTATTTAGTGTAACCTTTTTTTAATGTTCTCCTATGTTGATTGCTACTGGTTGGCATCGTTACAATGTCAGGGATGTGGTTGGGATTAATATTTCTGTCTTTCAGCAGTACCACCTACCAGCCTTCCTCTACCACCCTTAAAGCCTCGAAAGGTTTGGATCGTGTATTCTGCCGATCACTTGCTCTACGTGGATGTGGTGTTGAAGTTTGCTGAGTTTCTGATGACTGTCTGTGGCACTGCTGTAGCCTTAGATCTGCTAGAAGATCATCAGATCTCAGAGTTTGGGCCATTACCCTGGCTCACTCGACAGAAGAAGGAAATGGAAGAACTATCCTCAAAGATCATAATCTTATGCTCACGAGGCACCCAGGCCAAATGGCAAGCCATGCTTGGGAGCGCACCTGTGTGTCTCAAGCAAGATCAGCAAAAGCCAACTGGAGACCTGTTCACCCCAGCCTTAAATTTGATCCTGCCAGATTTCAAGAAGCCAGCCTGTTTTGGAATGTATATAGTCTGCTATTTTGATGGGATAAGTAGCGAGAAAGATATTCCTGATCTGTTCAATGTCACATCCAGGTACCAACTGATGGACAAGTTTGAGGATATTTATTTTCGGATTCAGGACTTGGAGAAGTTTGAGCCTGGGCGCATCCATCGAATCCAGGAAATCACAGCTGAAAACTACATTGATACCCCTAGTGGTAGGAAGTTGAAAGAGGCAGTTCAGAAGTTCAGAAACTGGCAGACAGAGCACCCGGACTGGTTTGAGGCTGAAAGCATCAACCTGGATAATGATGAAGAATTGCAGTCCCTAAACAGAGAGAGCCAGGTGGATTCGTTGCTAAGTGAACCAGGTGGAATTGTGAAACAACAGCTGCACTTACGAGAACCTGACCCTAACTGCTGTTATGTCATTAATCTCCACATTCGTGAAGGTGAGAACAGAGGTTGTATACTACAGCCTCAGCTTAATCTCTGTGGAGATCCAGCTTCTCAGACTCTGATTGATCCTTTGGATGAGGCTGCTCCAGTTCAGAGAGTAGAGCCAGTCTCTTCCATGGAAGACAAAAATATTTTTGGCCATCATGTGCTGAGTAATGAGGACTGCATGGAAGGAGTTCATCTTCTGGAAACAAGTTTTCCAATGAGGAATAACATCATCCTCCATGATGACTGTGATGTTTCAGCAACAGATGACCAGAGTCCTGCAAACCTCTCAGGTGAACTGAGGCACCATCTGAATGGGCTTATGTACTCTCTTTATCAGCAGAGTGTCATTCCTTCAGATCCGTGTTTCTGCCAAGAGGAGGCTGAAAAGCAGCACCAGCTGATCTTTGAAGACCAGTGCAAAGACCAAAGACAGTCAGTGCAGTCAGACCAAGGTTACATCTCTAGATGTTCTCCTTTGCCTCCTGATGACCCCGTGGAAGAGGAAGAAGAGGATCAGGAGAATCAGGTGGTTTGTCATGAACTCTCTCCAGAGGTCTTGAACAGTCTAAAGAGCCTCCAGCAGCAGCTTTTTTTCCAGGACATTCAATGGAGCTCTGAGTCAGGATATCCAGCAGAGCTGATGAAGATGAGCCCATCTCCAGAGGACTGTTAGGCTCTATCTGGGACCTGCTCCATCTGAAATACACAGATGGAAGGTAGTATCGCATCTAGCACTGAAACTGCATTTCCAATGCCATCCTTCTCCTTGTATTACATGTGACTAATTGGTGGGATCTTCCTGTCTGCTGCAGAGAAGCAGGGTTGCCCAGCAGTTGATGAACATCTCTGCTTCTAATCTCTGTGTAGAGAGAAGCAACAATACTAGCCATCACTGTGACTGAACAGGCAGTAGTTCTGCTCCTGGGGGACATGTATTATATTGAGCCCTCACTGCAGAAAAATAACCTTAGCTCATCCACTAGTGCCTTCAGAACTCTCTCCAACTGTAATGATTTTATTGCACTGGACAGAAAACAAGGCCAAGAATCAGATTATAGAATTAGAATGGCAAACTTTTCAATGCCAGCTTGATGGGTTTTTTTAATATATATACATATATATATTTTTTTAATAATGTGTTTAAAGATGTGTGCCTTAAACTTCAGCTAGGTTAGGACTGTCTTTACATAGTCACATAATGGGTTAGGTTGGACCAGATAAGCTGCGGAGGTCTAACACCTCTGCCCAAGTAAGGCAACCTACAGCAGATTGCCCAGGCCCATGTTCAGGTTGCTTTTGATTATCCCCAAGCAGTGAGACTCCACAACCTCTCTGGGCAACCCTGTACGTTACTAGCTGCACAGTAAAGAAGTGCTTCCTGGTGTTCAGAAGGAAACTCCTGTTTCTATTTGTGCCTATTGCCTCATGACCTGTCACTGGGCACCAATGAAAGGAGCCTGTCTCTGTCCTTTTTTGTACTCTCCCTTTATTTATGCACGTAATGCCTAGAATAGAGCAAGAAAGAATGGCCTCAAGATGTGTCAGGGAGAATCAGATTAGGGATATTAGGGAAAAATTTCTTCTCTGAAGGAGTGGTGAAGGATTGGAACAGGCTGCTCAGGAAAGTAGTGGGGTCACCATCCCTGGAGGTGTTCAAGAAACGTGTAGATGTGGTACTAAGGAATGTGGTTTAGTGGGCAGTGTTGGTGGTGGGTGGTGATGATGGTTGGACTAGATGACCTTTGAGGTCTTTTCCGACCTTAATGATTCTGTCATTCTACATAGGTAAGATGGCCCCCAACCCTTCTGTAGGCTGAACAGACCCAACTCAGCCTTTCATTGTAAGAGAGATGATGTAGCCCCTTAGCCATCTTTGTGGCCCTTCATTGGACTCTGTCCAGTATGTCCATGTCTCTTCTGCACTGAGGAGCTCAGCAGTGAACACAGTATTCCAGGCATGCCTCCACCGGTGCTGAGTAGAGGAAAAGCTTTATCTGCTGGCAGTGTTTTGCCTAATGCAGCCCAGGATACCTTCAGCCTTCGTTGCAGCAAGGACACGTTGCTGGCTCATGCTCATCTCAGGGTCCTCTAGGATTTCCATGTCCTTTTCCTCAAAGGGCACTTAGCCTGTCCTGCTGCTTGCAGTTGTAACTCTTAAGGTGCGGGGATTTGCACTTCATGTTGAACCTGATGAGCTTCCTGTCAGCCTGTTTCTCTGGGCTGTTGAGCTCTCAGAATGGCAACAAAGCCTTCTGGTGTATCAGCCGCTTCTCCCAGATTTGCGTATCTGTGAGCTTGCTAAGGGTATGCTTTGCCCCATCATCCAGAATCACAGAATGGCCAGGGTTGGAAGGGACCTCAAGGATCATGAATCTCCAACCCTCCTGCCACATGCAGGGCCACCAACCTCCCCATTTGATACCAGATCAGGCTGCCCAGGGCCCCATCCAGCCTGGCCTTGAACACCTCCAGGGACGGAGCATCCACAGCCTCTCTGGGCAGCCTGTTCCAGCACCTCACCACTCCCTCTGTAAAGAACTTCCCCCTGACATCCAACCTAAATCTTCCCTCCCTCAACTTAAACACATTTCTCCTTATCCTGCTGTTATCAACCCTTTCAAAGAGTTGATTCCCCTTCTGTCTGTAGGCTCCCTTCAGGTACTGAAAGGCTGCAATGAGGTCACCCTGCAGCCTTCTTTTCTCCAGGCTGAACGAGCCCAGCTTCCTCAGCCTGTCTTTGTATGGGAGATGCTCCAGTCCCCTGATCATCTTCGTGACTCTCCTCTGCACACTCTCCAACAGCTCCCTGTCTTTCTTGTACTGGGGATTCCAGACCTGGACACAGTTCTCCAGATGGGGCCTCACGAGAGCAGAGTAAATGGGGACAATACCTCCTTGTCCCTGCTGGCCACTCCTCTTCTGATGGAGCCCAGGATACCATTTGCTTTTTGAGCCAGATCCTTAATGAAGATGTTAAACAAGATTGGAGCCAGTATTATCCCCTGGAGTACTCCTAGTTACTGCTTAGTTAGACTAAACCACTGATTGCCACCCTGTAGTCCTAGCCATTCAGCTAGTTCTTTACCCGCTTTTGAAGCGTGTTAAACCGTCTTGTACTTCCTCAGCTTGTCTATGAGGATCTTACGAGGCACAGTATTACTGAAGATAATTACTGAGGTCTTAATGAAGTGCAGGAAGGTGATATCACTGCTCCCCTCTCATCCCAGGTTGATCATTTCATCATAGGAACTCATCATAGGTCAAGCATGACTTTTCCTTGGTGAATCCATGCAGACTACTCCTGGTTTTCTTGCCCTTCATGTGCCTGGGAATGGTTTCAGGATGAGTTCCATCAACTCCCAAGGGATCAAGGTGAGGCTGACCAGTCTATAGATGCCTGAGTCTTCCTTTTTGTCATTCTTGAAGATAGGACATTTGCTATCCTCCATTCTTTAGGCTCTTCTCCCAGTTGCCATAGTCATTCAAGGATTATCAAGAGGGGCCTCACAGTCACTTCTACCAGCTCCCTCAGCACTCACAGGTGAATCCCATTGGGGGATGGGATGGCCACAATTGATGAACATCCAAATTGCTGATGTATTCCCTGACATTATCCAGAGCAAAAATGAGTGTGAGATGTTCTTTGTGCGAGTATAGACACAAGCACAGGTATTGCAGGCTAACCATTGTGAAAACACCCTCATAATAGGTTATGGGGTTGATCCTGCCAGGGCAGTGATGCTAACTGTCAATTCCAAGATTGAGCTTGATGCACTAGGAAGACTTATTCCATGCAAGTGATCCTCTATTGGCCCATGAAGCACTGACTGAGTAGCGGACTAGTTGGAGCCAGCATTTACTGTAGGTATTGTCACACTTTCTGCAGTCTAGCCAGCTGGTTACATTCATGAGATACAAGCACCTCCAAGCCTTTCTGCTTTGTGTTCAGACAAGCTTGTCATCTTCCTGTCCTTCTAAGTTTACTTGTCAAGAGATTCTGAGATCATGTTATTTTGGCTTTTTAAAAGTCTGATATCTCAAAAGATAATCTGCTCATTTGACTTGCAACCAATGTTTTATTATGTATATTTTATACTTTTGTTTATGACTTGTTTTTTTTCCTTAAATTAAAAACAGGAATGCTTTTGGATATATTTACTTAAATACTTGTATGTCCTCAATTCTGCCTTAATTGTTAGATAAGGATTTCTTCTGGCAGAATTGAGACAGAACCAGAACCGGATCAGCTGGCAAGCACCAAAACATGCCTGCAAGGGACAGCTGGGGACCTTTGCATGTGTGGGAAGAACATATACCTTCCAAATGGGCGTTATAGAAGTTGAATGCATGTCATTTCTGCACAGGGCCTGGACAGTGAGGCAGAGCTGTCAAGAAACACTGGCTGTCTCTGCAGCAAAATGCTCAGAACACTGGGTACTGCACGCAACCAAACTTGAGATACTATCGCTCTACAACTCAGTGAAAGGTGGTTGTGGCAAGGTGGGGGTTAGCCTCTTCTCCCAGGTATAGGATGAGAGGTAATGGCCTCAAGTTGCATCAGGGGAAGTTCAGGTTGGATATTAGGAAATATTTCTTCTCAGGAGTGGTGAGGCATTGGAAGAGGATACCGAGGATGGTGATGTGCCTGGAAATGGTCAAGAACCACGTGGATGTGGCACTGAGGGACATAGTATGGTGGACATGGTGGTGACAGGCTGACATTTGGACTGGATGATCTTAGAGGTCTTTTCCAAGCTTTCTTATTGTATGAAAATTGGCACTACCTTAGAGTCCTGTCTGCACAGGACCTAATCCACTGGGAGCTAAGCAAGTAGTAGCTGTGAGCTCAGAGTTTCTCCAGTGGGAACTCATTTCTCAGATTGTATGAATAATTGCCATCTTGCTGATCCCAGCTTTTAGAATTTCTTTTATCTTACAGTAATTAGCATTTAAATGATATGTTTTTTTTTCCCCATGAGCTCTTTTCAAGTGGTATACACTTCTGTGAATCATCTAAGTAGGAAGCTCAGAAGTGTCATCTGGATTTTTTTTTTATGTCTTCATTATTCCCTTCTCAAGTAGTCCCCTTGGTGTTGCAGCTTTTAGAATTCACTTTCACTTACAAGAAGTTTGTTTGAGGGGAAAAATCCAGACACTTTTAGCAACCAAACATGAGGAGAGCAAGTAACAATAATGCATCTGTTGGTCCCTGAACGCAAAACTGAAGAGCTCAGCAAGACTCAAAAGAGGACAGAATCAGTCACAAGTTTCTAATTTTATTTTAACAATCTTGCTTTTTAAAAAATACAGCTTCTGATTAATGCCAGGGGGATGCCAAGTGTCCACTGGCCGCAGGCCTCATCTCTCACTTCTTTTTCCCATCCTGGGAATAGTCTCTTTTCTGTGAGGAGAGCAACAGAATGCTAAATAGCTGAGCTCTGCTACAAGCCTTGTAACAGGACCCCAAGGGGTGTATATTTTCATATGGCACAACTTGATATTGCAAAGTGTTACTGACCTGGACCAATAATTAATGTTGGGCACAAGATAGTAGGCGTGCAAGGAGTGTTGGGTGAGGTATTGTTTGCTCTTGGACAGCACTACTGTCTCTTTCTTCTGCAGACAGATTTGTTGTGCAGCAGAAGGGTCTAAATGGACGTGAGAGCTCAATTAACAAAGAGAAGGGAGTTTAAAAGGTGGGGCAGGCTTATGAATGAGAGACTGCAGAGCTTTAATTGCTTCTCTGTAAGTGATTGGAAGGTAGCACTGCCCTCCAGTAGATAGTTGCATGGGGGCTTCTGTACAATCAGCTGCTACAGAAGCTTCACACATCCCAAACAGCACATTTTCTAACACCCTATAAGTAATGGCGCTACAAAGAACCACTTTTTCCACAGAGGAATTTGATGCAACAGCATCATCATTTTGTGGTGTCATCTGCCCCAGGTAGTTACTGCATAAGGGGACAAATTTGAAGTGTAATTTCAATGTAGTCAGAGGTTTGAATATGCCATGGCTACTTAAGTTTCCAATACGCCATTTTCTCACTGATGTCTTAGATGGAAAAAGGCACTCAATATTGAAAGAGCAGCTGTGAGGGGGTACTGAATAAGTAAGACGCATTAGTAGTAATTCTGCTGTGATTCTTCCAGTGTCTCAGCTATGCTTATGCCTGCGTGTATTGGGGATGCTCTACTCACTGTGGTGCTATCGTGAACCACACCATAGGAACAGCAAAACAGAGCTGGGGATGAATAGCTTTTTCTTCCTTCACCGTATTTTTGGCACATATTATGCTCATTTGACAGAAGCATGGAGTACTCCTAGATGCAATGTCTTCTCATTCTCCCTAAATGGTACTGCAGCTCTTTCTGAGCTTTAACTATCCGTATAATGCTGGAAAAGGCAGGTGCAAGGAAACCAGCCTCTGCATAACCCCAACAGACCTGCGACTGCACCCCTTTGCCCTGGACAGTAGCATCCCCTAGACACAGCTCACATCACATAGGAAAAGTTCACAGTACTTAGTTTTACAATCACGGTCACTCACAGCACCAAGATTGTCCAAACAAGAAGGAATTACTGAAGAGAAGGCCACTGGCCAAAATTCACACAAGTGCCCACCTGAGGTCTCAGGTTAAAAATAAAGCACTGGTGGGAAAGTTAAGCCGAGTCTGTGCTGGCTCTGTTTGGCAGGGGGAGAGCAGCAGGTCTACACTCTCAGCTCGTAGCAGAGCAACGCTGTCACCCCGTTGTTCCTGAGCCCTGGAGGCTTGTCGGCCACCTGAGGGCACGTGGTTCTGCCGGGGGGGAGCTGGAAGTTGGCACTGCTGTAAACATGTCTGCTGCATGAAGGGCTGGAGCCCTGGAAGAGGTGGGCGTGGGCAGGACTGGGCCGTGCCTGCGTCCTGCTGCTGGCTCTGCGGAGGAGGCGGTGGGCTCTTTTGCCCGTTGCCGTCAGGACAGCTTGAAAAATGGCTCTGGACAGGAAGCCAACGACAGCAGCCTTGGCCAGGGAGCGAAAAAGAGGCCTGTGGGAGCCTAAGGTCTTCTTCCAAACATGGCCTCTGTGCTCCTGCTTCAGTGCAGCCAGTTTGAGGAGTGGCTGGAGCCAGGCTGAAGAGCAGGCCGCAACCCACCCCACGCATGCATGGAGCTTAAAACCAAAGATAAGTGTTTCTATGAGACAATAAGTACAACCAACCGCTCCCCCATCACCCTTAACCATGCACATCTGCAGGGCAGGGTGCTGGAGTGTCCTGCTCTGTGCTCAGCCAGCACAGGCCACAGGCAGCGCCCAGCCCCACACCGCCATTTGGGAGCTGCCCTGCTGCTCCCTCAAACAGATGTGGGAAAAGGTCAGGAGGGACCTTTCCAGCCCTCCCGCCCTACACAAAGGGAGTCCCTACGCTGCATAAAGGAAAACCAACACTGATCCCACAAACATGCATATTCACAGAGAAATGAGTGCCCCAACAAGCGGGCGCTGCTGTCTGAAGCCAGCAGGAGGCTGCCTAAACCCTGTTCTCACCAGAAGTCAGTGTCTCGGTGGGAGCAATCCCCCCGACTGTGTCCATTTTGGATTCACTTGTTTCTTTAGTGTGTGAAGTCAACATAAGATGCCAAAGGTTGAAGCACAGAGGTAGACATTTACAGCTCGGAGGAAGTGGCTTCAAGGCTTGAAATGAGCAGATGGCTGGCGTGCTTCTAGGTGTTCCCCAGCTGCTCCTCCCCAGTCTCCCCAGCTCTGCTGGGTCGTGGGGGTGGCTTTGCGGGACCGGTGGAACCTAAGCGTGTTTGTTCTTGTTCTGCACGCACCAAGAAGGCACATCTCTGCTGCTCGGGCCCCTCTTGCATCTCATCGCTGGTCAACAGTTGTTCCTGAAGGACTGGGGAGCATCTGGTCCCTGTTGGTTAGGGGAAGAAAAGAAAACCAAACCTTTATGGTCACAATGCAACACAATGTCTTGGCGGGGAGTTGGAGGGGAAAGGTTGGGATCCTCCAGGCAGTGTGGAGAGGCAAAAGCACTGAAGAGGACTCGTGGTGAGGGGCAGATGTGTTTTCCAGGGGTGAAAGATCGGCCGTGGACTCCTGCAGGTAGCAGGCTTCACGTCAAGCTTCCGCTGACGGAATTGTCTATAGGACAGGGAGGGCAGCAGGAGTCCGGCAGGGTGTCCATGTCCTTCCCACGCTTGGCCACAGCAGAGGGAACCTGAGCAGAAACACAGAGAGACTGGCAGGGCTCAGCAGGCTCAGCCCTGAGCAGTGACAGCCAGCGCATTGACGTAACCATGGGGGCCCACATCGACGTCGGACAGCCCGTGGCCCAGCGGGGCGGCGGTGGGGGGCCCGGCAGCAGAGCCATACTTGGAGGGCGGCAGGGTGGAGGTGGGGTGCAGGAGGCAGCAGGTCTCCAGAGCCTCCAGGCCACGGCAGGCCAGGAAGAAGAGGTTCTTCAGCATGAAGAGGGAGAGCGGCTGCTGGTAGCGCAGGAGCAGTAGGCAGCGGAGCGCCAGCAGCGGCGCGTCCAGCAGCCCGGCGGGCAGCAGCAGGTGGAGGGCGAGGCGTGCAGCTCCGGGCGGGCGAGCGGCGCTGAGCTCGTAGAGCCACAGCACCGGCGAGGCCAAGCAGAGGAAGTAGACGGCGATGAGGAGGTAGCGCAGCGGGGCGGGCAGCGGCGCGGGGCGGCTGGGCTGCAGCACCAGCTCCAGCAGGGAGAAGCTGTCGAGGAGATCGAGGCAGGTGGCGAGGAAGGCGGCTGCGGCGCGGTGCTGCGGCGGAGGCTGCGGGGGCAGGAGCAGCTGCCCGGAGCCCTCGGCGCCGATGGCCCGCAGCAGGCAGTAGAGCAGCGGGGCGGAGAGCGCCAGGGTGATGCGGAAGCCGGTGGTGCCCAGCGGCAGGCGCAGCTCGATCAGCTCCAGGATGGAGGTGCCCAGGATGAGCGCCGCCTTGGGCGTGAAGGCGATGGAGTAGATGAGCCAGGCCAGGTGCGCGTAGGCGAAGTCGCCGCCGCGGGGGGGGGCCGCCGGCCCCGCGTCCCCCGGCCCCGCGTCCGCCGGGGGGGCCGTGCAGCAGCAACGGGTGCGGCGGCGGCGGCCCGGGGGGCGGCGGGGGCCGCTCGCGGCGCCGCGCCCGGCTGTTGCGGCAGAAGAAGATGCCCCAGCCGGC